TTTACAATTATAACATTCAATATAACACATAACTTCCAATCGAATTCTGCTTGGTACATTCTTAAAATATGCACTAAGTTCTTAAAGAGAAATATATATATATATATATATATATATTTCTGAGGTTCTCGCGGGTATTTGTATGTGGATCTTTGGTTATTCGGGTTTTCTCTCGCGTAAGATTGGCAGTATCTAGGCAACGTTTCGATGAAGTCTCATTCATCATCTTCAGGCTTTTTTCTTCGGCTCTGTGCTTCTCAGAGTGATGTGAGATTGTAGCTGCTTCTTCCTTTTAACTGCTAGTGGGGGTGTTATATATATATATAACAATGATAAATAAAATACTTATTCTATTCCAATTTAGCTCTATCATTAATGTTAGTTATAATCTTTGACATCTTTAACATTCCTTTTCAAGAGGATATCTTACTTCTAGGAACACTTATAATATTTCCATATTTTTTTCCATGTTTCTTTCATATTCCTCTTCACTTAAATTTTTATAATACATTTATAATAATTAAAATGTTCCCTTCCTTTCCTAATTTTATTCTCTCATTCTCTTTATTTCATTTATTTATTAAACATTCCACTACATTACAATGAGTATTTTATCTATCATTTTAATCACACTTGTTTCATATTTTCAAAGTTCATTTCTATTTCTAATATAACAATACTATCTGATGGACCCTTGCAGAATCCCCCTTTCAATTACGTTTTCACCCATTATCTCTGTGTCTTGTACGTTTTCCCTGTTTCTCCTCCATGCTGCAGCTCAGGTTGGGTTGACTCCTTCCTGTGATGTCATTTAGCTGAGTCTGTACTAAGATATAAAAGCCAGCCCCCGGAAGAGACCCCAGCTTTTGACTCAGCTCCTTTCAGTCAGTAGCTGTGTCTCTGAAAGCTTCTGTTAGATAACACTCACCAGCAATCTCCAGTACCTTTTTTCCTCACTTCAGCAGCTCCCAGGATCTAGGCAGCTGCTCTTCCAGGAGAGCAGGGCTCTCTCTCTCCTGCAGTGTTGGGAGCAGCGTTGCCAGAGTGTTGTTCAGGCAAGTTGGGCAGTGTCTGTAGACCTCCCCCATGCCTACGGTTTGAGCGGTCATAAAAAACGATCGGCAAACCGATACCAGTGTCAGCCAGTTGATCGTGTGGCCAGAGGCTGCCCTTTCCTTTGCTGACTTCACTCGGGGCTCTTTATAGCCTTTGATCTCGGAGCCTGTTTCCCATAGTCAACGACCATCTTGGATTGAAGCCTTCCACCACAAGGTGAGCGGCCATTTTGTAAGCCCGGGGGCCAATTTATACCCTAAGGGGCTTAATACAAACAATTTACAAACAGTTTCTTTCCATTGTAAGAGCCTTTATTCTTCAAATGGAGCAAGATAAGGGTCAGGCAGACTTCCCCCCGCCCAGTGGAACAGTCTCTTAAGCCAATAAGAGAAAAAGTTGTAGGCAACGCACCCAATCAGTCCAGAGGGAGGTGGCTGCTAAAATCAGAGCTAAGGCTCTAGCCCCTAAAGGCAACACAGGCTGAGTTGAGGGCAGAAAAGCGCAGACATGCAGCCCTAGAGAGGCAGTTCAACAGAAGGGAGTGTAACTACAGCATGTTTCAGGTGATACCTGTGGGCACCAGCCAAGCCCTCCCAGGGGAGGAGAAGTTATCTATGAGCCTTTCCATCCTCCATCCTGGTCTCCTGAGGCTTTTGCAGTTCAATGATCCTCAGGATCTAAGCAGATCTGGGCCTTAGTTCCAACAGGTTTCTGGGCCCTATGCTCCTCCCTCTCCCTCCAGGCCTTGAACCCCTTCTCAATCTAGGCCTGAAGCCACCTTCACTCCCTCAGCAGCGGGCCTTTGGCCTTCTGCCCTTACCTTTGAGCATAGACCAGGGGATATCCAAGATGTTGTCTCTTTGGCCATTAGGCAGGGATTGGCTGAAGGCTTCAAGCAAATCCTTCGACCTCCGGAAAGGGTTCAGGCCCTTCTCCCTTCTCAATCTATAAGTTGCCTCATCACCCTGATTTACACAAGCCCCAGGACCTCAGGGTCCATTCTTCTCTACCAGAATGGGAGGAGGTTGATGAGGAGGGAAGGGCTTCACCATCTGAACACAGTTATTCCTCTCGTTCAGAACATGAAGAGGGCAAGACCTTTGACCAAAATCTTCAGAGGAAGAGGACTCTCGCCCAGAGCAGACATCCTCTGCATTGGTTTTCAATCCTTCTCTCTTCAGGCCATTACTCAGCATGGCCTTGGTCACTGCCAAGCTGTTGCCAGAGGAAGTGGCTCCCAAGCCACAAGGAATTCTCTCTAGCCAGGGAGACTCATTCTTCTCCAAGCCTGTAGTGCATGCAGGGGTTTTGCCTTCTCCCACTTTGTTCCTGGACATGGTCAAGGAACAGTGTGCTTCCCCTTCGGCAGGTCCTCGCCCATCTTCTCTGGATAAGTGTTTCTACAGTGTCAGCACAGCCCTGGACAATTCCCTGGCAGTGCCTTCTGTTGACATTCCGGTTCTGGCCTCGTTCCCATTTTCTGGCACTCTCATGTGGGCATCCATATGGTGGCTGCACCAACTCCAGATTAGATTGCCTACATCTGACCTTCGGTCTCACCAAGGCCTTAATAAGATTATCGCAGCGGCGGAATTCACTGCAGATGCCACTCTCAATTCCACCAAATTTTCATCTAGGGCCATGGCATCTTCAATAGCAGCAAGAAGACTGTTATGGCTCAGAAATTGGCAGGCAGAGTCACGCTGTAAATGGAAGCTGGTTTCAGTTCCATTCGCGGGCGATAAGCTTTTTGGCAATGCTCTGGAACCTTATCTCATCGAAACTAGAGATAAACATAAAATTCTCTCATCCTCTGGGAAGAGAGCCGACTATCGCCCAGCTCCCTATACTGGTAAACAGCCCTTTTGGGAGGGTGGGGGTCATTCCTGCAGTCGCTCTAAGTAATCCCTCGTTCTCACCACCCATCGGAGGTCGCCTAGCCTTCTTTGCCTCCAAATGGGAGGAGTCAACGGCGGATGCCTGTGGCGTGGGGGAGGTCTACAGATGCTGCCCAACTTGCCTGAACAGCACTCTGGCAACGCTGCTCCCAACCTTGCAGGGGAGAGAGAGAGAGAGCGCTGCTCTCCTGGAAGAGCAGCTGCCCAGATCCTGGGGGTTGCTTGAAACGAGGAAAAACTGCACTGAAGATTGCTGGTGAGTGTTATCTAACAGAAGCTTTCAGAGACACAGCTACTGACTGAAAGGAGCTGAGTCAAAAGCTGGGGTCTCTTCCGGGGGCTGGCTTTTATATCTTAGTACAGATTCAGCTAAATGACATCATAGGAAGGAGTCAACCCATCCTGGGCTCTCTCGCAGCATAGATAGAAAGGGCGTTCAGGGCAACCTCTACCAACGCCCATTCTCTATGTCCTGGTTCTGTTCTTTATAGTTTCTTTTCCTTTCCCTCTTCTCACTCTTCTTCTCCCTTCCCTTTTTGACCCCTTCTCTCTCTAATTCTGATTCTCTCTTCGGTAATCCTCTCTTCTGTTTCTTCTTAATGTTATAATTACTTTTCAAACTATTCTTTTTGGGGGTGTTTTTTTTCGGATCTTAAATTTTTCACTCTCTTTCCCCCCTTTCCTTTCTTTTCCCCACATAGAAATACTTGGTCATTGAAGATGGCTTCTTCTTTGTCCCGCCCTTCTTGTTCTACAGGCATGTCTTGTTGTTTCTCATAGTTCAGGATCTCCATTTCTAAAAATTGAAATACGAAGCCAAAAGAACCTCTTCCTTCTTGTGCATCTTCTTTCTGTTTTTTAAGTTCCATTCTCAATTCTTCCAAGAGTGATACCATTTTAAAAACTTTTAAATAACCACCTGATTAATTTTAGTCCTTTAGGTCCAATAGCCAAAAATCCAAAAATCACCAAATAATCCAAATAATCCAAAGCTGTTTCTTCTTGCTTCTTTTTTCCACTTTCTCTTCCGGGGGTTCTCTTATCTTGTTACAAAGTTTCAGTTAAAATGTATCTTTTAGGATTCTTGTTAAAGTTTCTCTGTTAATTCCTTTCACTTCCAGGTGGTTTCCTCCCTTTTTCCAGATCCCACCCTTTTGTTTTTTTCCTTCTTTTAAAAGTTTTTGAGAATCCAGAAAGCTTTATTATCCATTTGACATTTTATTTTCAGATTACCTGTTACTGTCAAAATGGATTTTTGCCGATTTCTTGCTTAAATCTCTTAGTTGTCAATATAGGGAAGAAAAGGGAAAAAAACCCTAATCCTTTCCCTTCCCTCTCTCATTCGCAGCTTCAAAGTCTTCTTTGGGAACAATGTTGTTCTTTATAATTCAAATTCCAGGGCACCTTGTATTGTTGCTTTTTCAGTTCAACCCGGTCAGCCAAAAACTTTCTCATCTTCCTCCTGCACATTCTTTTCCGGTCGAGTTCTTCTTTGAGGTGGCCATTTCTGACCACCGCTGCAACTGCCTTTGGGAAAGGGAGTAATGGCCAGCTGGGGAGGAGAGATGCGGCTCTCCTCAACCCTGCACGCATTCTCCCGCCTCTTCACCTCTACGGGGTGGCTTAGCCCTGAAACCAGCCGGCTCGGGGTGCTCCAGCGGCGAGCACAGATCGAAACGGCGCACAACCGTAGATTTTGGTCTGTTGCCAAAGAAGCTCAAACTGGATCTCTCCTCACAACTGCATGTTAATGGGATCAAGGATGTATATAAAAATCCCAGGTTCCAGAAAGCCTAGTTCTGTGAGCAGTTAAGATTTTATACTGAAACTGCTAGAGTCAGTCTCCAAATGATAAAATATCTCACATTACATATCTCAGTTTAAATAGTTTGGAGATCTAATTGCATCCTGGGTTTCTGTTTTTGGTGGTGGTGGTGGGGGATGAAGCAGCTATGTTAGTGAATACTTGCAGTTTTATTTGGTTGTTTTAATTAAAATTCTGGTATGTTTGTACTTAAATTGCTCAATATTATGTTTCTGTTTTAGGATGTAGACGAAGATGAAAAACTTGGAGAACTGGACCTCAGAACTGATTTAGAAGTTCCTGAAGTTGTCCCAGCAACAGACAGCACTCCAGAAATTTTTAAAAAGGCTCTTTCTGGCTTATCTTCCAGGTATGAGGGACAAATGCTCCTGGAGTGATATTAACTTAAAATTAATATTTGTCACAGATTATATGCAAAATTTGCTTTTGGTTTAGAAAGGTCTTCAGCAACCATTTAAATGGAAGTGGGCATGTTAACAAAGTTCAGATCACTCTTTTATGTACAAATATTGAGTCAGTTAAACATTTCTATTGCACTGTAGTTTGATTGTATACTTCACATATGTATTTTACTAACAGAACAACCTCCTGAATCCTGTGGTTATTTCCTTAGAGTTAAGATCATTGTGTACAAATAGACCTATTTCTGATAGATATATGTTATCATGTGGAAGCTGAATTTATTTTTAAGAAATTCCTGTGTTCAAAACTTTCATTGTTCATAATGTTACTGATTAACTAAACATTTTCTTTAGTTATAAGAGTTTGTAAAACCAGCCTGTATATTTTCTTTTTTCAGATGGAAGAACTGGTGGATTCGTGGAATTTTAACTTTAGCAATGATTTCAGGTTTCTCCCTCATTATATACATGGGTTCATTTATGCTGATGCTGCTTGTAAGTTTTATATCTCAACATTTCATGTAATTCTAGTTGGAATTATAAAAGTCACAATCTTTTTTTACAGCAAAATTTATCTGGCAGGGTAAAAAACCCAGAATAAAAATGAAACTACTACAAGATATGAAGAGCAGAGGAGGCTTTGGATTGCGAAACTGGGAATTATAGTGCAGCAACATTAGTTTGGCTAAAAGTTTGGATTAATTTAAAGAATAAAAGAATATTAGCTATAGAAGGTCATGTTCTTCAGAGGGCATGCCTTTTTTGGGGACACAGGACCCACTAAACAAAAATATTTCCATAGACATCTGATTAGAGATTCATTGATATACAGTTGGATCAAGGTCAAAAAGAACACTATATAAAAATCCCAATTTGGCTATCTACAATGGAAGCGATGATCCACCCAAATAATTTAGACCTGAACAAAACGTTAAAATGTAAAGACTTATTGGATACAAATGGAAATTTAAAAACAATACAGGAGCTCCAAGAACAAGGGCTATGAGTAGACTGGTGGGCTTATCTCCAAATACAAAGTTGATATAAAAAGGATGTAAAGGAGTATGGAATATACTTGAAAACTCAACAATTAGACAAAATTTTATTAGGCCCAGATTAAAAAAAAATTACCAAAATTTACAAGTATTTTCTAGAAGTAGAATTAGAAGAAGTAGTAGTGAAAGTGCATGGGATCAAAATATTGGTCATAACATAAAGTTATCAGACTGGGAGACTGTATGGAATAGAAATCACAAATTAACAAAATCAGCAACATACAAAGAAAATGCCTATAAAATGTTCTATAGGTGGCACTTATCCCCTTCGAGATTAGCGAAAGTGTATCCTAAAATGAGTTCTATATGTTGGAAATGTAAAAAAAAAAAAAGAGGGAACATATGTGGTGGTCCTGCCCAGAGGCTCGAAAATACTGGCTCAAAATCCAAAATTGGCTACAGGAGATCACCAATGAACAATTAGACCTAGAACCAGAACTCTTCCTGTTGGGGATCTTCAAAAAAAATATGCAAAGAGTACAAAATACTTATTATTACACATATTGACTGCTGCCAGGATTGCCTTTGCCCAGTGTTGGAAACAGCCATATACACCTGTAGAGGAACTGGTTATACAAAAAGTTATGAATTGTGCTGAAATGGATAAACTAACGCTGAGTTTAAAAAATAAGGAAGCTTCAGTATTTTATAAGGTATGGGAACAATGGTATAGCTGGATAAATTGGAGACAGATTAAGGATAGGTAATTGTTAAATATAGAATATAGATAGAATAAGAATATAATTATGCACAAATTAATATTTGTAAATATTGCACAAATGATTGTTATATGATAAGCATCACAAACAGCTGTTATTGAATGATATTTTTTTTATGTTTTTAACGTAATAAAAATTCAATAAAGTTTATTTTTTAAAAAAGTCACAATCCAAGGATTAATTGTAACAACCATGAAGATAGAGTAGAATAACAGAGTTGGAAGGGACTTTGGAGGTCTTCTAGTCCAACCCCCTGCTTACGTAGGAAATCCTACACCACTTCAGAAAAGTGGTTATCCAATCTCTTCTTTAAAACTTCCAGTGTTGGAGCATTTACAACTTTTGGAGGCAAGTTGTTCCACTGATTAATTGTTCTGTCAGGAAATTTCTCCTTAGTTCTAAGTTGCTTCTTTCCTTGATTAGTTTCCACCCTTTGCTTCTTGTCCTGCCCTCAGAACATCTATCCAGATGTTCATGTACACAGAGGTACATTGCGATGTTACAATAAGCGAACAATTTTTAGAATTCTTGTGTTTTTGTTAGAATAATATGCTTCTCTAGTTGTATGAGAAGAATGATAATTCTTAAGACAAACTGATCTGTACAAGTTCTAGAAATGACAGCATGTGAATATTTCATAATCTCTCATGCCTCTAGAAAATCCAGTGTTAGAACCTCTGTTACCCCTTTCCATTATTTCAGGTCTTAAGCATACAAGTCAAGTGCTTCCATGAAATCATCACTATAGGTTACAGAGTATATCGATCTTATGACCTACCATGGTTTAGAACATTAAGCTGGTAAGTAATAACTGGATTTTAAATTTTTTTTTTAGCTCTGATTCTAAATTTCTTTTTTTCATGGTTGCTTTCTAAGAAAAGTGTCAACCTAGGATTTAATGATTCTTCTTCCAACTGCTGGTTTTGTGTGTTGCTTCCATTCTGAATGTATTTAAATTGAACTCTTGAGACCCCCACAACAGTGGGATCAACTCAACCTAATTTAATTAATAAATGTTCCAAATTATAAATATTTATCAAATAATACTAGTTTAAATAATTGTATTCTTCTATAGGGCAAAATATGTCTATTTTTGACAATCCTTCATCAGTTGTATGGTTTGTTTTAAAGCAGGGGTGTGAAACTCTATTTCATTGAGGGCCACATCAGGGTTGTATTTGACCTCAGGGGGCCAGGGTGGGTGTGGCCAGGTGGGTGTGTCTATGGTATCACTTGTGTCAGGGTGCTGTGGCAGCCCGAATCGTGTTCTGCCAGCGAAAACTGGCTCCTGAGCTCCATTTTTGGCTGTGATGGCCTCCTGCAACCCCCTGCCAGTGAAAACTGAGCTCGGGGGGCTACACACAGCACTCCCAAGCTCCATTTTCCCTGACGGAGGCACCGGGGGTCGGTTGTTCGTCATTTCCAGGGTGGCCTCACAGGCCAGATCTAAGCACCCCGGGGGCCGGATCAGATTCTAAGTATCAGAATACTGGTATTTCTCCTGTTCCAAGCATCCAGGCATGGGAAGTGCTCCGTCTGTCATTCGGTAGGCTGAGCTGATTTCTGAGGACACTCCTACTTGAGGCTCCTCCTTAGTGTCTGTAGTTTTAGCTCAGCCTTCATTCATTTTAAATTATTTGTAATACTATGAAATTAAAATAAAATATAATAAACTTTGTAGCTCATATTTCACAAAGCAATTTTTAATGTATTTTTCAGGTACTTCTTGTTATGCGTGAACTATTTCTTTTATGGTGAGACAGTAGCAGACTACTTTGCTACTTTTGTTCAGAGACGAGAACAACTTCAGTTCCTAATTCGCTACCACCGATTTATATCTTTTACACTTTATCTGGCAGGTAAGAATAAAGTTTGTCAGTAGTCAATGTATTTTGTGTACTTTGATATAACTTGTTGAACTTTCTACTTTTGGTATTCTTCAAAATACAAAATATTATCCTTATATATGGCTTTAATACATGTATTAGGACAATGGAGAACATTTATAGCAACATGCTGTAAAGTGAGTTGACATAAACAATGGCAGTGGCAGTGGAGGATTTCCGAGGACATTTCTGCATGCATGTGCACGTAAAACGTTTTGGTGGCAGAAGATTTGAAAGAGCTTTTGCAACTGCTTTCACAAGGCTTTCTGGAGAATGTCTCAGTCTTTAAGGAGATTCTCTTTGTTTGCACCAACATGCTTTGTGAAACACTTTGTATACTTGGCATAGCTCCATGGCTTTTGAAAGTTAAAAAGAAAGGAATATATAATACATATCCAAGAGTTACAGTGAATATTGTAGACTTGATACTCTTTCTGTCATCTGTTCTTAATAAACATTTACACTATATATTAGCTCTGATATTGGAGTATGGATCAGAAAAGACATGGGAATCTTTGTTTAGTCCTGAGAGTGTGTATTTAGCAGTAACATTGTAATAATAATAGAAGTAAGAGTTTTTTTCTGTTAGATATTTTATATGGTTTTTGCAGACTAAAACTCTCAGAGGAACATGTCAGGAGAACTGTGTGTCAGGTTTCCTCAGTTTTCCCTCCATTTAATTTCAACCTGTGTTTAGGTAGTAAGAGTATTAACATTTTCAAGGAAGAAGAAATTATCTGGATCACATAACAGGCAGAATTATGTTGTATATTTTTAAAAAATTGCTTGCCTTGTAAATGTAATATTAGTAGCTGCAGAAATTCTAGGGCATTTTGGATAGTAAATTATATATGATCAAAGCTGCCCTTTAATGTGCCTTTCAGATTTACGTGAGGTACAGATCATCAAGGTGTATGTTAATTTGCAAACTTTATTAACAGATAAGGAAGAATAAATGCTACATAGAATTTGCATTTTTAATAACAGCCAAAATTATAATTTCAAAAGATGGCTTATCAAAATTCATTAATTGACTCATTGCTTAAGATGAAGAACAATTTAGGAATATTGGATTAAACATTTTTTCTGCAAAGCTAAACAAACAGGGAAGACTTCTTTTTAAAAAGTATTTGATGCATAGTTTAGTTTTTCAGATGCTATAAATTATAAATTTATGCCACTGTGTTTTGAAAACTTCCTTGAATCAGAATACAGTAGTTACACTTGCATATATTATTAATTAATAGAACTTGAGATACGGGGTCTTTGCTCACAGTTTTCATGCTGCAAATCATGCGGTTTATCTTCAATTATATAATGTGTGAACTGACCTAGCAAATGTCTGAAGGGGAACTTGGATTGTGGCAAGTGACCGTATATATCATGATAGAAATGACACAAGTACATATTTCTTGTGTGTCATGATGGAAACAACAGTGTTGAATGTATTTATTCAAAATATTTATAGATTGCAATGTGGGCTTTTTATCAGTACAAATGAACTAATAATGAGCAGTCTTTTGCTGAAGAGCTTGATACAATTTATTTAGCCTAATGAGAACAATGTTGTAAAACATACACCTGTCTTCTTTATTTGTATAGGGTTTTGTATGTTTGTATTGAGTTTGGTGAAGAGACATTATCGCTTACAGTTTTATATGGTATGTATCAATCTTTGGGTATCTCCTCTTTAAAACACGTTTTGATTTTGGAATAGAAACGTTCATAAAGTAAATTTTAAAGACTCATGGATACAGGTCAAAATTATTTACACTTTTTTATTAACTCCACATTTAATTTGATTTAGTAGTTAATAATCTCAGATTCTTAAAATAGGAAGATTATTCTAACATTGATTATTCAATAATTCTAAGATTGTTAAAATGTTTTCAGCACAAAGAAAGATTCATGTGAATTTCTATAGACTTCAGTCAGCAAAACTGACTAAATTCTAAATAAGTTCAGAATAAACATTTATATATGAAATTGACAATTTTTGCATCCTGTGATTGTATATTAACACAAGAACTGTCCTGGAAAATCTCCTCGTAGCACTGCTTTGCAGGGAATTTAAGATTTGGTTGAGCAGAGACACACAATCTTAAATAATTGTGTGGTAATGTCTAGTCCAAGCCTTTATAGAGCTAATACGACTTTTAATTGATGACCTTTACCATTAAGTTAGGAGTTTGAAAATTCTCTAGAAACAGAAACTGAAAGTTATATGCTTATATTGCCAAAGACATTTCTTTTAGTATTTTCACGAGATCAAACTAATAAAGATCTGAGTCAAATCTAACAAAAATTGGTAGAATGCAAATGGAAAACAAACCCTTCGTTTGTTAGTTGATCAGGCATTAGATATATTGAGATTGTTACTTTGTTATACAAGTATTACAAGGGGCAACACTTTGACTTTATCAGTAAGAAAGGACGTATCTAATTCTATGGAGATCACATTTTAAGCATGAATAATTTGTATCGGGACGTGGTGGTTCAGTGGCTAAGACCCTAAGCTTGTCGATCAGAAAGATTGGCAGTTTGTGGTTCGAATCCCTAGCACCACATAATGGAGTAAGCTCCCGTTACTTGTCCCAGCTTCTGCCAACCTAGCAGTTCGAAAGCACGTAAAAAAATGCAAGTAGAAAAATAGGGACCACTTTGGTGGGAAGGTAACAGCATTCTGTGCACCTTCGGTGTTTTGTCATGCCAGCCACATGACCACGGAGATGTCTTTGGACAGCGCTGGCTCTTCAGCTTAGTAACAGAGATGCACACCGCCCCCTAGAGTCAGAAACGACTAGCACGTATGTGCAAGGGGAATCTTTACCTTTGCCTAATTTGTAGAACCTATGTACAATTTTTCACAGTTACATAGCATGATTTCACCATGTCATGTATCATTAACATTTTAATGTTCCAATTCTAAATTGAGTATGCATCTAGACTGATCATTATGATTTTTCTTATATGCCATTCCTATTAAGTTAATTTCTGCATTTTTAATTACTGAGTGGAAGATACATATATATTGTTCTAGATGTCTGTTCTCATAACTGTCTTGTAAAGTTTTTTGCTTTTGTAACTAATTGTTGTGTTATTACACTATTACCAGTTCGCATGGACTCATGTCACTTTGCTGATCACTGTAACTCAGTCTCATCTTGTCATCCAAAATCTGTTTGAAGGCATGATATGGTAAGGGAACAATAATAATTCTTGCAAATTTGGGTATACATCTATATATATTCTAAAGGGTGTTACCATTTTTTCATGGTTTTGAAGTGAGACCTTTCTGATGTGTCAGCAAGAAAATATTGCTATAAAGTTTCACAGTTCAAACTTTTATCCTCTGGTCAACAAGAATTGATCATGATAATCAAATTTTCAGCTGGTGTGTGTAGGTCTGAGTCAGAAGATTATTTTGGTCTTGTGGGAGAGCAAAGAGAGGTGAACAGGTGCCAGGATAAAGTGTATATCTGGCTTCAAAACAAAGTTGGGCATGAATTCCAATAATCATGGATTAATTGAAAGGAAAAGTAGAGTCCAGCAGCCACTCCATGCTCACCATAGACACTGAGAGCCTATAGCCAGCCAGCAGCTAATAACATACTTTCCTTTCCCCACATTGCCAACTGAAGGATAACTAAAGCCTATGGATTGGCAGCACTTCAGAGCAGCAGACCTCAGTATTGAACTGAGAGTAGCAGGATGCCAGCTAGCAACAAAACTAACTCCAAGGTGGCTAAAGAGATACTTTTAAAAGGACAAAGAAAACTGCAAATGGGATTCATTAAGATTTAGGAATATAATGTATGTGGGAATATATGCAGAGATAAATAGTATAGGTCACATGCTAAGAGTTAAATGGCAAATTAAGAAGTAAATAAGTAGAGACGGTTCTTGACTTATGATCACAATTGGGAATTTCCATTGCTAAGCAAGGCGATTGTTAAGTGAATCACACTTAATTTTACCACCTTTGGCTCATGATTACTAAGTGAATCATGCACTCAGTAAGCGAATCCAGCTTCTTCCATTGATTTTGCTTGTCAGAAGCCAGTTGGGAAGGTTGCAAATGGCAATCACATGAACTTGGGATGCTACAACTGTCATAAATACATGCCTAAAGTTTGATCACATGACCACAGAGATGCTGTAACTGTCATAAGTGCAAGGACCAGTCACAAGTCTCTGTTTTCAACACTGTTGTAACTTTAAATAATTACTCTAAATAATGGTTGTAAATCAAGCACTAACTGAACCATAACATTACTGAGCATGATTGTGTAAGCTTATAACAAGGAAGATAGCACTACTCTCTTTGTTGGTCTGCACCTTTTTCTAAAGAAGTCCTCACAAATCCCAGCAATATAGTAGCAGCGCTTGCTTTCAGTTTAATGATATTTGGAGTACAATATCTGTTTTTGCAAACTCCTGATTGAATATATGGATGAATACAGCTTAGCAACCAGATATTATTGAAAATCATTCTCTCTAATTCAAATTACTGTACAGGTAGTCCTTAACGTACAACAGTTCATTTAGTGACCATTTGAAGTTACAACAGCACTGAAAAAAGTGACTTATGACCATTTTTCATATTTATGACCATTGCAGCATCCCCATGGTCATGTGATTTACATTTGGATATTTGACAACTGCTTCATATTTATGACGGTCGCAGTGTTCTGTGGTCATGTGAACACCACCTGCAGCCTTCTGACAAGCCAGATTCATTTAACAACCATGTTACATAACAACTGCAGTGATTCACTTAACTAAGTGTGGCAAGAAAAGATGCAAAAATAGGACAAAACTCACTTAACAAATTTCTCACTTAACAACATAAATTTTGGGCTCAATTGTGGTCATGTCAACTACTTGTAGTTTAACTGGTTTGGGGCTCCCATTGTTCCTTGCGTGAACCAGAGCAACATTCCTACTTCATTTTCTTGCTTAGTAGCTGCTCTTACATTGAGATTCCCTTTGGCAAAAAGCTAATGACAGACTCTCTTGAGCTGAGTTCAGTTCTTAGTGACTTAGTAGACACCAATATTGTTGAAGTATAAATTACAGACTAAGGCATTACGGTCATAATACGTCTCTTTTTAAATTTAAATTATTTAACACACACCCCTTGCTGTGCAGGTTTCTTGTTCCAATCTCAAGTGTCATTTGCAATGATATTGCTGCTTATATATGTGGATTCTTCTTTGGCAGAACACCATTAATTAAGGTAAATACAAAGTTTGAAATATGCACATTGATTACAAGGTAGTTCAGAGAAAAAATTTAAACGCTTCTAGTAATTTCTCACATTGCTTGATATCTGAGTGACATTGCCTCATCCAACCTTTATAGAAACCACCTCTGGTTTTGAGAAATAATTTATGATTTGAGAGGCATCCCTTATAAAGCTTTTTTAAAATAAATAAATACATAAATAGGTTGTGCTTGTATTTCTAACAGATTATAACCTTGGTTTAACTAATATACAGTAGATTCATATTATCTGGATAACACTATCTTCTGATTGTTATAATTCTACTGGATTGTGAATTGCTTGATCTATTCTATCCCTTGTTATTGTCTATGCCCGATTGTTTCATATTTCAGTGACAGAAAGTAGAAATATAATCGTGCAGTAAGATTATGATTGTGTATAAAATACTAATTTTTGTAGGTGACCAGGATATGTATATTATAAAAAATATAAGCATCCTTATTTCTTACTGTTATTATTACCATCCCACCCCCAAATTATGATTGCTAGAAAACTAAATCTTATTATCCTTAGAGATATCATTACTCAAATCATACAGTACAGTGGTGCTTAATAGTTTGTGAACCCTTTTGAATTTGCAATATTTCGACATAAATGTAACTTAAAACATGATTTATTCTCCACACAAGTCCTAAAATTAGGTAAATTAAGCAAACAAATGAAATAAAACTTATACTTGTTTTTTATCATTTAGGAAAATGATCCAAAACTATATATTTGCCTTTGCTTTCAGTAATTGTGGGCCTACTTGGACAATAGTAACTTCAACTGAACATTTCCAATAACTGTTGGTCAGAATTCAGAATTCAAAGTTCCAACAATGATGGCAAGCCATCATAGCCTAGAGGCAGCAAAGCAGGCCCAAAGTATGCCACCACCATATTTCATAGATGGAATAAGGTTTTAAGCTGTGTTTGCTTTTTGACAAACATAATGCTTATTACTCAGGACAAAATTTCCATTTTGGTCTCATCTATTCAAAGAACATTCTTCCAAGACAAAACTAAGGATTCCAATTTGTTTTATAGACAGTATATACTATTTTATTTATTTATTAAATTTCTGTGTCACCTATCTCACTGCCAAGTGACTGGACAGGTTAGAACATCATTAGATAAAACATGAAAATATTAAGATGCCAAACATTAAACATTATTAAAAATGTTTAGTAAACTAGGGTCCAATACACAAATCGAATGGAGGTAAGATCTATTGAAAGATAATATAGATCGGAGATGACCAGGCTAAGTCTGAGGAAGAGGTCAAATGTGTGTCATAATTCTCAAGTCTCCTCATGCCCAGTAGAGGTCTATGTCCAGCCCACCTTGAATTCTGCTCACTTTTATCTACCACCAACTTGCTTTGACCTTGAGTAGTTCAGATTTCTTATAGAGAGCTTACAATACAATAAATCTCTATATATATTTTTTAAAAAACTGGCTGGACTCCTGATTTCCTGAGCTTGACAGATTGTTTCACCTTTCATGGAATAAGTGACCTTTTGATGCAAGTATATCTGAATTTTCATGTTGTTTGGAAGGAACCTAGACAAAAGTAAATGAGTCAACATAGCAATGTTTGTCAGAACAGAAAAGAGTCTTGTGCCACTTGCTGCTTTTTAATTTCTTATTTTCTCTTTTTGGTTAGCTCTCTCCCAAAAAGACCTGGGAAGGCTTCATTGGTGGCTTCTTTATCACAGTTATATTTGGATTTATTGTAAGTGGATGCAGTATCTTCTTTATTAATGTTATATTATTTGGTACTGGTATTGAAATTGGCATAAAGGACTAGAATTGCTGGTAATCTGTAGCATTAAACTAAGTTAAAATTTAATGCTCTATTCTTATTGAAGTTTATGAGTGGCAGATATTACAATGGTTGGTTATTAATATGCTATGTATATTAGCAGCCAACTGTAATAACCATAATAAAAATCATTGTGGAAACTCAGAAGTAACACATCTAGCTGAACATTATTTATAGGTATTTTTAAAGAGATAAATGAATATCTCCAATGAATATTGTGAATATAAATAAGCTATATTATGAGCCACAGTGGTGTTGTGATTAGAGTACAGTACCGCAGGCTATTTCTGCTGCCTGCCTGCTGCTTGCAATTTGGCAGTTTGAATCTCACCAGGCTCAAGATTGACTCAGCCTTCCAGCCTTCCAAGGTGGGTAAAACGAGGACCCAAAATTGTTGGGAGGCAATAGGCTGACTCTAAACCGCTAAGAGAGGGCTGTGAAGCGGTATAGAATAGAACAGAACAGAACAGAATTTTTTATTGGCCAAGTGTGATTGGACACACAAGGAATTTGTCGGTACAAATGCTCTCAGTATACATAAAAGAAAAGATACATTCGTCAAGTCATAGTGCTAGAGCTATGATAAAGTGCTATCTAATGTAACTATTAAAAGTTTCATTAAGATAATGAAACTTATAATAGATTCAAAACTCAGCACTGCGGGGACATTTCAAAAAAAGCAGGCTGCAATATAGTAAAGACATTGAAATAATCTTAAAAATGTAAAGACCTTGTGTAGTTCAAACAGTTTCATAGTCAGTGGATCACTGTTGAAGCAGATTCAAGTTTTTGCCAGTGACCCTAATTATTTTTACTGATTGGCATTAAGTCAGAAACCAAAAGTTTATCTTAAGCACATGGTTGGGATTATTACTCATACACTGATCTGCAATGATAGCGTTTTTCAGTAGTAACATAATTCAGTATAATTTATAGATGGATGATATGCATTGTCAGATCTTTAATACTGTTCTTGGTATTACCAAATGGAGTTCTGCAGCTATAAATAGGGATATAGATGAACAGATGGTTTTGAATAATAAACTGAATCCATCAGGTGTTCTTGCTGTTCCTGGGTGGCTCATGGAATAAGATTTATATTGTCCTAATTGGTACAAAGAACAATAGGAGAAAGTGAGTGATTTCCCTTGGTTGCAAGATTTATAGGCATTCTACCTGATATGAATCCTAAAAGGAGAGTTACTTTTAAAAATTGTGTTTGGACTTAGAAGGAGACAAGGCCTCTCCTTAGTCTCTAAACTTGCATTCAGTATTGAAAATGTGTGAACATTTTGTTTATTTTTGGTAATAGTTTGGTAATAACAGTTCAGTAATAGTTTGGTAATAATTAAAAGTTATCAAGGATAGCAAGTTTAGCCAGCTAGCCTAGCCAGTTTGTGTCCCTTCCTTCCAAGCTTTCTTTCCAGCCACCATTTACCTAATTTCAGAGGATATAAAGGCTTAGTGGAGGATTGGAGAAGCTCCTAATTGCACCCCAATTCTACAGGAAGCCCTTAATCAACAACAACTAAAGATATCTTTTCAGGTTGCTCATCTTTTGGCACAGCACCAGTACTTTGTATGTCCTGTGGAATACAACAGTGAAACTAACAGGTTTGTCACAGAATGTGAACCATCAGAACTTTTCCAGCTAAAGAAGTACTCCTTACCACCATTGCTTCAAGTTATTCTGAGAAAGGTATGTAAAAACTAAATCTTAAAGAATTAAGAATTAAATAATTAAAAATAAAACATTGAGAAAATTGGATACAAAAAGGGCTAAAGCCCATCTCTCCTTCCGGTTAGTTTGTTAGAACCAATAAAATAACAACGCTGGGAATAAGCATTTCACCCTGTTTCCCACAGGTACAAGAATATATTACAAAGAAAATCACTGTTAATTTTTTCTTTTATGAAGAAAAGTGCAGTGGCCTAGAGGTTAAAGACAGTGAGGTGGTCACCTGGAAAGCTTTCAGTCTGGGTTCAAGACCCGAGGGCCATGCAACGTGATAAGCACCCGTTACTTTTGCCCACTTAGCAGTTTGAAAGCATGCAAATGTGAGTAGATAAATAGGGACCACTTCAGTGGGAAGGTAAGAGTGTTCTGTGTGCCTCGGCATATAGTCTTTCTGACCACATGACCGCTGAAGTGTCTTCAGACAACACTGGCTCTCTTGACTAAGAAATGGAGATGAGCCCCCCTCCCCAGAGTTGGACATGACTGAACAATTCACCTTTACTTTTTCTTTTCTTTTATGACACTCCTGTACCCTTGGCAAAAGGTCATTTGACCCACTATGGCAGAAAAGGCAGAAAGAAAGTTCCATTTTGCACTTGGATAGCGAGTTGTGAAGCAAACCTGTTGTGTGGATTATCCTCTGGGGTTAGGAAGGACTTTCAACTACCTTGAGAACTTCCTTGCAACTAGAATGCCCAATTATGTGCCTTTTATTTAAATAGCAAAATTTAATTCTGGTACGAGGGCCAAATTATGCACATCTCTCTTCTGCTGGAGAGAACTTCAGTTACTTTGCTAGGTTCTATAATTGTTTATATGAACTTGATGATGCTGATGAGGAAGAAACTAATCCTTCAGCAACATGGTTTGGGTGAAATCATACTCTCTTCTGGCCTAAGTTAGCCTTAAATGAGGATTCATTTTTAACTTTTTCATAAAGAAGAAAAGAATCATATGAACTTATCTGGATAATATAGCTCCAACCTTTACTCCAACTTACTGTGGCTGCCAAGGTTATTTCCTGTTTGTACAATTGTTAATTTTGCTTGAAAGCTTTTAATCCTTGAATATGCTAAATTTAGGACTAATTTTTCTCTGTTAATGTCAAATAAATGCTGATTAAAACTAATGATTACGTCTTACTGCAGGAAACTGTGACATTGTACCCATTCCAGATGCACAGCTTTGCACTGTCAACATTTGCATCTTTAATTGGGCCATTTGGAGGTTTTTTTGCTAGTGGATTCAAAAGAGCTTTCAAAATCAAGGTGAATACATAGCCTATGGTGGCTTTTTGGTGAGCACACATTGTAAAAAATGTTTTTTCAGTTGCTAAAAATAAACTATTATTAATGGACTCCTGCAGTGATAATTAACTTTCAACTCAATAGTTTAAAAGATAGCAACAATGAAATCTCATAATGTTTAATGATTTAAGGGGGAAAGGATGTCTTGCATTCACAAATGTCTGTTCAATACAAAAGCCTGCAAACATAGCAATTTATGTAATTTGGGTAATGAGATCATTATGCAAATTAAGTCACTTGTATCAATTTATGCCTTTTGTGTGATGGCCTCATTATGCAAATGACATAAATTGATACAAAATAATGTCATTTGCATAAAAACTTCATTATACAAATAACACAAGTCAATCCAAAATAATGTCATTTGTATATCATTATGCAAATGACAACATTGATACAAATTATGTAATTTTCATAGTGACATCATCACACTTTATTTTTGCAAATTCCCCATTGGAATTCTGTGCATTGTCCATTCTACTGTGATCTGGCAGATCAGAATTTCACTGTGATAACATTCAATTGGTTGACAGTCCGACTAAACAGTTCTAACTCTGGATCCTGGGCCCTATAGTCCGATACTTAATATAATGACGTCCTTTTCTCTTTAAGGATTTTGCTGACACCATTCCTGGCCATGGTGGAATAATGGATCGTTTTGACTGTCAGTACTTGATGGCTACTTTTGTACACGTCTACATTACCAGTTTCATAAGGTATGTTTCTGTAAGGTGTCATTTTAGAGTTGGTTGGAAAACATACAAATGCTTTTGAACCAACCTTGTCTCAAACGCTGTGTCAAAGTGGTGTTGAGAGCAAAGAAGCCAATTTAGCCATCCCTTTGGACTCCAAAACGGGTGAGGTAAATTACAACTAGGAAGCTTCACGTGGTTTCCCAGCACCCCATTTCTGTACCCAATGGGTCTTCCGAGAATGGGGTGCTGAACCTCAATCAAATGGCCGGGCTTTGGAGAGAACCCTCTGGGAAGAAAACTGTTTAATTCTCTTCTATAACCCCAATGCCAGAAAACCTGAAAAAAAACAGCCTGCAATTAGGCTAGTGAATTTCAGCCATTTCCCCCCAGGAAAAACTGGCAATGTGTTTGGAAATGGAAGTAGTTTATCTTCCAACCAAACATAGCCATTTCTGTCCTCTGATTCAGCTGCCTGCTTGCTTCCTGACAATCTGCGTGTTGCCCCACTGTGGGAGCTACACTGTTAGCAGTATGTTCTGATTACTGTTCGCTATTTATAAAGGGCTGTATAGTTTTATAATTGGCCCCGTCAATTCTTCTCATCCTCAAAAGTTCCTCACTCTCTGCTCTTAAAAATAATAATACCTTAATCATTTGAACTGAAATAAAGATGTATCACAAAAATCAATCTTAGAGGAGTGGAATATGGCTGCATTGAGACTATTTAATTTAAAGTCCAGGTTTTGCAATTGCAGACATGCAAGCTGTGGGCCTGCACCCCGGAGACGCAGCCATTCAGTGATGCAAAAAGTGGACCTTGCACCTGCAGGAATATGCTAGGAAGAAGAAAAAAAAGAGGTCTTGCAATTGTATAGAATCACAAGTTTTGCTAAGGAAAACTCAGCATTCTTTTTGCAAAAGATGCTGTGTCAAACTTTTTATGAGTTCCTGAATGTGTCAGCAATTATAATGGCCCAAGTAGCGTTTGCCTATGAAATGGTATCTAAGAAAGACACAGAGAAGATATATCGTTTTTGAGTTCAGCATCAGGCTAAAAATAGAAAGAATAGATATTGCAGTGCAAGCAATTTCTCCATGTCATAGAATTTTGCATTACCTCTAAATAAGTCAGGATTGCCCTGGTATATAATAAAAATCACTTATTTTCATCTGACTTGAACTTTATGTAAAATATTCAGCAAAAGTCCTGGGCCCCACTTCTTATCTTCCTTGTCACCTGACATCATTATTCTGATGGTGTTTGAAACAGGGAAGCAAAGCAGAGATGAATTAGGGCAGAACTGAGAAATTCAGAGCTACGATGGCAAAGCAGGCAGCACTGCTTACTTCCTCTCATGCGGGATTTATATTAGTGTTCGGTCAGTCATGCAAGAGGTCAGCTATTTATGCTTTAGATGGCAAATTCTCTAGTTATCTAATAGCGAATTTCCCTGGCAGCTTTTTATAATGAAAAAGTAGGCTTGCTATTGTTAGAGGAAGCACTTTGTGTTCCTGGAGAACAGGATCCGACCTGAGTAAGGATTACAGAAGCCAAGTTTTGTAATCTAAACAGAAAGACTTATTTACAGGAAGTCCACGAGGTAGTCAGAAAAGCCTAACGCTTAGCTAGTCCTGTCTCACCAGGAGTCTAGTCAAGAGGAGAGCTCTCATGGGTGCATGCCTAGAAAACAAAGGTCCTCAAGGCAGGAAGGAAGGAACCCTGAGATTAACAATCAAAGAAACAAAGAGCAGGAAGGATTAGAGTTACAGATGAAATGCAGGATTTACGGTTAACCGATTGTTCCCCTGCTACCCCTTGTGATCAGTATGAAGTGCTAAGAGACAGCACATCTGAAATCACCTCGTCAGCACTGATGGTCGGTTGGAATTTGGCTCTTTTGCTTCTGTTCCCTCGCAAAAGTGTTTTTAGTGCTTATTTTGATTCCAGCGCACACTGTTAAGGAAAAAAACATTAAACAAAAAATATTGAATGGAAAGCCCAGGCTTGATTTTGCAGTATACTCTACATGGGGCTGTTCTTGAAGACTACTCAAAAGGTTTAACTGGTTCAGAATGTACCAATATAAGCCGTGTTCAGGAACAGAGGGCATTACCACCTCTGCTTACCAGGCTCCACAGGTTGGCAGTTGCTTGGGGGGAGGGGAATTGAAGGTTCTGGTTGTTACCTATCAAGTCCTACGTGGCATAAGGTCAGCTACCTGAGGATCCTAGCGTCTGCCTGGTGGCTTTGTTCCGACAGAGTTGCTGTGCTCTGGATCCCTTCAATTAAAAAGGCCCATATATTGGGACTTCAGAAGCACAGCCCCTGTGTTACAGCACCTGCCCTCTGGAACAAAGTTACCAAGTTCCTACTGGTATTTTGGGGTGCTTTGAAGACCAGATTCTTTACCAGGCCTTTGGTAAGAAAGGGCATGGATCCTTCTGAGGAAGGAGCATGTTTCGCTGGTGCCTATAGTTTCATCATCTTTGCTTTTGAGGGTTTCTTTTTTATTGCTGTATTGTTTTATAATTGATATACAACTGAAACACATAGAAAAGTGGCACTGTGGATTGAAATGTTGTCTTCTTAAATGTAATCACCAGAGGCCCGAATCCCAGCAAATTGCTGAAACAGCTGTTGGTACTCCAGCCAGAGGAGCAATTAAACATTTATAAAACTTTGAAATCACACCTCATTGAGAAAGGATTCCTCCAACCATCACTGAGAGGCTAGGAGGACTGAACGAGGGACGACAAAGTGAAGCCCAGCCGGGAATGCAGTTATGCTTCTGCGGAGAGAGGTGTGTGGGAATCAAGCCAGCCTGTGTCCAAAGATATGACTGTTTACGGGGAATACTGTGAACGCCCAGGATGCCATGCAAGATTTTAAGTTTCTTTTTAACAACTGCATGTTTTTCAAATAATTTATATTCTTGAATTAATGGTATGAGACTTCTTGCTTTGGTTTTAACTGTTCTGAGCAACGATGCACCTACTCCTAGTAAATAAAAGTTAAAGAAACAATTAGGGTATGCAGTTTATTTTTAAAAAAGGCCCCTCATTTAGTGCAACGATATTAATATCAATGACACCAGCTCAGTGAATGGTATTCTGTAGGACAGTGTTGGTAGCTCAATTATTTGATAATATAACTAAAGTAATAACCAAATGGCAATCGAAGCTGTTTTGCTATATTGCTTCCTTTCCGCCATCCCCACCAAAGCAGGGAAATGGGCAAATTTGTATCTTTTTTTTTTTTTTTTGAGTTTCTCAGGTTGACTGTGTTTGTAATGAAAAAAACAAAACAAAACCCCAATGGGTATGTATTGGGGAGAGATGGCTGGAGTGGAAAGGGTACAGGCTCTTAGGGTATCTTCTCTGTGGGACTGGAAGTGACAATTGGATGCCTCTTAACAGAATTGTAGGGCTCTAGTTACACAAAGGACGGCCTGCATTTTCCCAGGCAAGTTCCATTCAGAGCTTTTGAGCGGGTTACAAGAAACGGGTCTCCACAAACGTTCAGATGTGTTAAGGTTAATTGTTCTGCGTCTTTTATGGTAAGTGCAATAGAAGTGCTCTTGGCAATTTCAGGAAGTCCAGAGGCTCGATCCATTGTGGTTTTCTACCTTTATGGGAGGATTTGTGTATCCATCACCTTAACCTGGAAGGTCTTGGCCTATCACATTGGAGTCTTCGAGCCCACATCACCTGCTCTGTCTGAAGAGCAACACTGAGATGTGCCCAATTTTATCCAGACTTTTCTTGAGCCTTGCCTAAATTGTCACATTTTAAAGAGTTCTTCAGTTTCTACAGTTCTTCTGCATGATTTCTTTTATCATGTCAAAATCCCAAAAACCTTATTTTTAAATTCAAATAAGAGTAAGGGGAGAGCCAAAAACCATGGTATGAATGTGACTAAATAGGATTTAAGGCATCAACAACTGCAGTCTTTACAGACTTCCTTTGCTATGCAAATGAAAGGGAGCAACCCAAAAGCTCAGTTCATTTAATTGGATTGGGCAGGATAACTTACAGAGGATTGTTCCCTACAAATTTAATTTGAATGTTAATTTTCTTTGCAGTGAGCATTCAATACTTATTTTTGGAGGATTTTAAGGCAGCCCGCTTAACCCGTTTTTGTCCTGCTTTGCTTACCTTTTTAAAGCAGTTTTGTGGAAACACCTATCCATCTTTGACTTCCAAAATAATGAAGCATGTATGTTTGATTTTCAGCAATTGTAGATTACTCCAGACAAGGCAGAAAACCAATAGGTTCAGTCTAACGTTATCAACTGAAACAGCTGCAAATGAGGAATCTGGCCAATATTTAAACACTGGGGATTCCTTGCAACATTTCTTTAGTAATAGGGAAGCAGCAGTAGTGTTTGTCCTGTCTGTATTGCTCCATTATTAGCAAAAGCTGGTTATAAGACAGGATTTACTGGAGGTTTTCCCTCCCCTTCAGCCATTGTCTTTGGCCCTCCTAGTACTTGCACCAGTTGTGATCTTTTTGGCTAACAAAAAGAGGCCTGGGTTCAGAGTCTTTGCTTGAAGACCCAAAGACACATTCGTCATACTGAGAAATCTGTATGGAACTGGGGTTCTCTGAACATATCCATTGTTCAGTCCACTTACACCCACTCTTTTTCTTTTCAATGGTGATGGTTGTAAGATCAGGCACCAGACATCTTCAGACGATAGTGGTGTAGAAGAGCCACCATGCTAGTCTTTTAGTCAAGCAGCGCCAGAGGTAGATCACAAGATCTGCTGTAGCCTTTGGGATGAGGCTACACAGCTACTCATATCTGAAACCTGCCTGGGTAGGTGCCGTTTCTTCAGGTTGCATAAAAGACTTGTTTGGTGAAGAAGGATTTTAAATGGGACTCCTGCGTAGATAAAACCTTAGATTTCTAAAGTGATACTACCAACTTTCGTGCAAAACAAATAGGATAGAACCCAACGGATATGGGCGTTTAAGGAGAAAAACAGAGGGCAATAAAGACCATACCTAACGAGATGCTGGCATCGGGTTTAAAGATTAGTAGGAATATTTGCACTGAACATGCTAGTCATTGTATGTCTGTAGAAAAATAAGACTTAAAAAATTTTCTTTAGAAAACATGCTACTTACTCCATCTTGATGGTGAATCGTAAATATATGTAACGTTTGGTTTTAATATAACATTGTAACTTTTGGGGTTATGTTTGTGTAATTTTTAGATATTTTTTTAAATTTAAATTTGTTTGTATTTAAGCAACTGAATGTAAATGAATTAAAGCAGTCAGCTTTGTTTGCACTAATAAGGGACACCACTATATAATGCTGCTATTCCTTCAACTGAAAAAGCCTTCTTGATAATGTTAGTCGCGCTCCAGCATCGTCATATGTTTAGCATCGTCATATGTTTTAAATAAAACACTTTTTGGTGACAATGTAAGAATAATCTAATAAACTGCTGCAAAAATATTTCAGAAGGTGTTTATTATATATGTACTCATGCATATATAAGCAGTGCCAATAAGCGGTTCACAAAGAATAAGAGTTTTGCTTTATAGGTTTAGTGAAAGCACCTGGAAAAGTAAATGTCCAAATCATATTGGCTGAATTAGATTGTGTACTGGATGTCTTTTTAAGAATACAATTCAGCTTTAGATTTTTCTTTCCGTTGTATACAATAAAAGTTTTCAACAACCTCAGTTCTAACAGTGTGATCCAAAGGAAACTCTTCGCTTATATCTGTCTTTTAATTTGCCTTTTTCAGTAAAACACTTCCACTTGCTTAGCAAAATTGTGCATACTGTAAATGTTTGAACATTAGATGTGTGTTGACCATTTTGTAGAACTGAGCTGGAGAAAATAAAGCTCTGCTGAAAAAAAACCCAGCATTGTGAGGTTTCTTTGTATGCGAAAAGTGTTTACAGATTGCAGTTAATCCCCAAGTTCTCCTTTAATTCCTCAAGAAGCTTTAGTGATGCTTCTACCTGTATTTGGTCACTAGTAAACCTGTGGAAAAGTGATTTTGTTAAAATCCAGTTTTGATATTTAATGGCCAGGAACACACAATATAAACTTGGTTAGCAAGTACTGTACTTATGTTCCCAAATAAACTATTTTGAAGTAATGGTCCAATTCAAGTAATATGCTACAAGTTACAGAAGCACAAGCTACCATTCCAATCCAACCTTCTGCCAATCCAGGCTATCATGCAGGCCTAATTTTGTAGAGCAGGTTCCCCCCCCCCCTTTCAATTAACAGACCTCTTAACTAGAAAGGGGGCATAATGCAACGTGACTTGTTTATTCTAGAACTTGATTGGAATGCATAGCTGGGGTGGGGGGAAGTTTTATAAAAAATTCTCTTCATTCACTTACAAAAAAACACATTTACTCCTCGATCCAAAATGTCCCGAAAGAAAAAAAAAATACAGTGCGGTTTGCAGGCGTTGGAAGACTGTTTCAAAGTGAATGAAAATATTTTCCACGTCCTATCATGACACGTGGAACTGTGTGTCAAGAACTTAATTTAGCCAAGCAGCCAGGTCATTAAAAAAAAGCCTTACGAATTTGCTTGTGAGGTAAGCAATTTAGGAAAAGTGCCAGAAAATGATGGCAGAAAAAGTTACGGATCCTTTCCTAGCTTCTCAATTGGGTTGCCCAGGATTACAAAGCTGTAGGGCTTATAAGAGAGATGCCTCTACCCACAAAACACCTATTATTTCTGAGGGCAATTAAAGGCACACTGGAAGGCTTCAACTTGTTTGCTGCATAGATGAGTATGTTTAAGATAATGGATAGCTCCAGTTTCTAGTTAATGGGAATCCTACTGTGATATATATATATATATATGTGTGTGTATGTGTATATGTATATGATGATGATGGCGGATGAGATTCTGCTGAAACGTCGCTACAACTTTAAAAGCACAACTACAATGATGTGGGAAAATACCCGAACAAAGCTGAATATCATACATGTAAGTACCTGCAAAAACTTAAGAAAACGTGTGTGTGTGTGTGATGTATGTATGTATTTGAAATACAGATTTGGAAGAGACATCAAGCACAGATGAAGATTAAAAGGAGTTGTATGCTAAAAAGTTCTATGTAAATTCAAGGACATATAATAGTTCCTCACTCTTCCTTTTCGTGCTACTATAGCACAATATATAAACTTCAGCATCTTAAATACCATGGTTTTTATTATTGGATGGTGCAAGCGTCTGGAAAGCTCACTTTTCATTCAAAATTGAACAGTCCTATATTCTTAATCGCTACAGCAACTCGGATCAAAACAATTCAGTGCTTTCTATTAGCTTCTTAGTTTGCGCTGGATAAACATTCCAGCTACTTTGATTTTGGGGTGGGTTCAGTTTGACTTGGCTGGAAACTGAATTCTTGGTGCACACTCCTTGTCCAACAGTTTAAAAATAGATGTTTCCAAAGCTGGTTATACAATTTTTCAAAGAGATCTGGACAGAAAAACTTGGTGGTAAATAGTATTTATTTGAAATTAAAAACAAAAAAGGTACCTGAACTATTGCATTTAATCATGTATTGTATTTGTGTTACTCTACCTTTTTGCATTGGAGACAAATATACAATAAAACATTCAGATATCACAGATTGCACACTAGATAGTAATTCTTCAGGCCTTTTACATAACCACCAAAAACAGATATTGGATTCTTCAATATAGTACAAAAATCCACCCCTCCAGTCCTAGCCAGTTATCTTCAATTTACTCCTGTTTGCTGTACAGATCAATGGCCATTTACCCCAAAGGCTTACAAATTAATAACAGGACAAAAAAATATACATTATACTGACACAAAAAGTCAGTTGTGTTAAGTCATGCAACAAGTAACCAAACTTGCTGAAATTAAAAATATTTTCTAAAAACAGTTTTAACTGCATAAATATTTTTTTTTTTAATACACAGTTCATTTACCAAAACCAAAGGAGTCTGGAACGAAGCAAAACAAAAAAAATCCCTACTAATTTTTATACATAAGAAAGTGCAAAATAATGTCTCTAAAAAAAGTATTTTGCTCTTGGACTGGCAGATGACGGGATGGGACTGACACTCTGACCTTCTTAAGCATGAACTCTACAGTCACATGTCACAAACAAAGAGTGTATGGATACCACGTCAAAGAACAGGGCGGGATGAGGCGAGCTGCTTGACGGTGCAAAGGGAGGCTAGGCTGCTGCTGAACCATCGTTCAGTTACCAAAAAAAAAAAGCAAATTGCAACTGACGGAAAAATAAGCGCCCCTGTTGGTGTCGAGACCAGAGATGCTCGATCCAATCTCAGCATCTTCAAAGAGCGTGGACCTCTCAGCTTTCAGAATTCCCCAGCTGTGGAATTCTGGGAACTGAGGTCCACACAGCTTCAAGGTGCCGAGTTGAGAAACCTTGGGCTACACCATTTATGATAAACATATATGGGACTGGGGGGGCGGGGGGGGGAAGCATTCTGAATTATAGGAGGAGCTGACAGGAGCTGTTGAGACTTCACTACCCCAATGAATTGTATTGCTCGGTATCCATTTATTCCAGTGGGGCTTCAAAGCAGGAACGGATGGTGCCGCACCATTTCTTGGTGCAGAATAACCCCACGTTTTCCTCTTATCAACAGGATGCAACTTCGCAGTTTACCCCTTGGAGTAGATAAATAAGGATGGAAATCTGGAAGATTTCATCCCCAGTCAAGTAGCTTTAAACTTTAAATACAAGTAAACACATTTTAAAGTCACCTTCCTCCGAAAACACCAAATGTAAAAAGTGTAGAATAACACCAGTACAATAGGTCTACGTACTCAAAATTAGGAGAATAAAAAAAACCAAACAAACAGTAAACTGCTTCTAATGAGCCAGCATTAGTGTCTACGATGTTAGTGCCATCCAGTGCTTAGAATTTTATCTGGAGGAATTAATCGAGAGTTGAAAAAAATAATTCTCAAGCTGAAAAGAGACAACCTTCAGATTAAGAACTTCCAAGTTAAGTTTAACTGGGGAAGGGGGACAATTTTCAGTGGAGTGGAGAAGACTGAGAGAATTTCAACGTGCTTTTCTTTCTTATGGACATTGTATTTGTACTTTAGAAATGTCTGTTGTTAGGCTGAGTTTAAGGACCACATAAGCAGCACCCTGCCTATGATTACAGAGTCTGTGTTATTCTCACATAACCTCAATAGTTGGAGATTCTACTTTAAAAAAAAAAAATTGAGAAACTTTGCAGATATCAAAATTGGCAGCACTGAACAATATAGCTGATCAATGCTGGTTGTAACAAAAAACACCCAGTGGGCAAAAACAACTTTCATAAACCCTTGTGTGCTCATGTGTGGAAGGGGCTCTTTCGGGGGCCTGAAATACGCTTATTATAACCACAATTAAGTCAGTCCATCATGACGATTAAAAAGATCCTCAACATACATACTAATCACTGCATTGATTTCTAACCAGGGATGTTTAGCCAGAGAAAATTGCTCTGTGCAAACTATTCAAATTATTTTAAATTCATTCGTGTTAACAAATCACAATGTTTATGTTGTCCTACATTTGATTTCATTTCTTGGTGTGCCACACTGTTTCCGAGTTACTTTTTAAAAAACTGCTGTCTTACCATATTTAAAAGGCAAGTAACAATAATCTCACCACCCATTAACAAAAGAAAGAGGAAGGAAGGAAAAATAAAACCAGTACGTTGGGGGGTGAGGATACAACTACATTTCGAAGCCTCACTTCACTGAGATGTTTGATTGGATTTATTTATTTTTATTTTTCGTTGTACCATGAAGGCTAATATATAAAATAGTTGAATTTATGTCCTCCGAGTAAACCAATGAATGATGAAACTGGGGTGCGACATCAGGTCCAACCCCTAAATAAAGGAGCAAGTCTGATTTTAATTTAGAAATTCATTGGGACTCCTCTAAGCATTTCCCAGTTGTAAGGACAACGTCTCCAAGTCCATTTTGCAAAACAAAAACAAGAACACGAGAAAAACAATGGTCCATTGGTTTCCTTTGGAAAAAAAACAAAACAAAAAGTATTAAATCTGATTTTCATGCAAGCCATTTACTAGTGTTTTAAGTAAGACTTGCCTTAGACCTATCTGGATTAGCGGATTACTTACAATGATAAAGAAGGAGCAAGCAGCAAGGCCCGTGGGTGTATAAAAACAGACCTTATTTAAATATGAAGACAGATTCTAAATAGATGTAGTAAAAAGGCAACAGAAAGGGGGGCCCTTTTTGGTTATCTTACAGTTTAGAATAAAATATTTGAAGTCCGATGCCCCAAAACAAAAGGATGGTTTTCCCTTCCCTCCCCCCAGCCCGATCTTCAAAATAGCTTGGCTTAAGTTAAGATCATGAGAGTAACTGAAAGAACCATGCAGTTGGAATAGTAAAAAGGAAAAAGAAATAAACCCAGATAATGCCTCTTGATGCTTTTTCTTTTTTCATTGTGTTTCTTCTTTTTTCTTTTTAAATCATGTTTAAATAGATGAGCTAAAGAAGAGGTGCAAAGTATATAGTGGTCTGAAGTCCCATGTAACAGGCAGTTCAGTTTGCATTTTTGATAAAAAGGCCATTTTCTCTATTTACAATATCCACAGTTTTGCTTGTGAAGAAGGCAAATTTACAACTATTTTTGTTTTTCTAAAAAGCCTTCTGCTTCTGGCGACCCAAATAAAGGGAGACTAACTACAAAATCAAGATGGAAAAAAGAGATGCTTAATGAGGTCTCTTCTTAGCAGAGAAGACAGAAGGGGCCTGGAAGGTCCTTGACGCAGCTGTGGCGATGGTTACGCCCTCCCCGCCAGAACTTAGTTGATGTATTCTGGCCCCCATCTCTGCAAAGGTACCCCAAAAATAATTAATGGTCCCTCTTGCTTGCAGTCCTCGCGTAGGAAGGAATGGCAAATGCTGCAACCTGTTTGAATGGGCTGCTCATTCCTGGAATTAATCCGGTCGGCTGGGTTCCTGCAGGCCCTGCAGTATGTAGTCTGGGTTGCCGTGGTTCCTCTGGACAGGGTTAATTCCAGGATGCCTCCTCCGGGCCTCGCTCGTGCTGCAAATTGTAATAACAGTTCTGGCAAACCCGAACCGGGGAGGAGATTTTCAACCGCTTGATTTCGGACTGAAAACGGCTGCACCTGCAGAAAGTAATGTAGGGTTAAGACTGAATCCTCTCCCTCTTCCTTCTTCCCTATCAGATTCCTGTTCAACGCAAAACTCTTCTTGTCTCCTGTAAAGCTGGGTCAGTTGTGCTATACAACTTGTGTCAAGGGATGGGGGGGGGAGTTGGAAGATGCACTCTAGCCTTTGAATGCTGTAGAACATAGAATAATAGAGTTGGAAGGGACCTTGGAGGTCTTCTAGTCCAACCCCCCTGCTTGAGCTGGAGACCCTATACCCGTGATGGCGAACCTATGGCACGCGTGCCCAAAGTGCCACGCGAAGCCATGTCGCCTGGGACGTGTGGCCTTGCCTGTTTGTCTTCTGGGTTTCTGCTGCGTATGCGCACCAGTGACAATCAGCTGTCCTTCGTTCACATGCCAGTGCCCAAAACTGGTGTGCGCATGGACGCCGACCAGCTGATTGTTGGGTGCGCATATGCGCCAGAATCCAGAAGTTCAGCTTTTCCGGAACGCAATCCCTTTGTGCACGAGCTACAGATATTCTCCTTTATTGACAAATGAAGAAAAAAAGGGCCACAAATCCTTTCAAGTGGAAAGCACACTTGCCCAATTTGTTCCTAGACCCAATGCAGGTTTTTGGAGACAAGGCTCTCCCAAGAATCGTTTGGTTACAGAGATGCGGAGCCCTTAAAAGTGGCCGTTCTTACTTCTGGCAGAAGAGTTGTCCACAGTTCCTACAATGGTGACGTCTTTCGGTAAGAGAGAACCGGACCGAGCAGCTGGAGCAGCTGTCTCCTCCCTCGTCTTTCACCCAGTGGTCAGCCGCAGAGCGGCCCGGTTGGTCACTCACAGACCAGCTGAACACTCGGCCTCGGCTGTCCCCTACCAGAATCCTGCTGTGATCCCTGGAGGAAAAACATATGCATTAGCTTCCAGTCAAAACCTGTGGATGAAGAGAACGCAATCCAGCAGGGGCAAACGAAACCCCAGGTCCATCTTCTATCGTCTCTCCATTATAGGCAATCTTTGACTTACGACTGCAATTGGAACTGGAACTTCTGTCACTAAGCAGGATGGTCGTTAAGTGAGTAAATAAGCCCAACATTAGGAAGATTTGTTTGGTCATGAGATCAAAATTTGGGCGCTTGGCAACCACCATGTATTTATAATGGTCCCAGGGTTAAGTGATTACCATTTACTACCTTCCCTGGCAGCTTATGACAAGCAAAATCGGGAGGGGGGGGAGCAGGATTTGCTTAACAACCATGTGACTCACTTAAGAACTGCAAAAAACGGCAGTAACATTGGGTGTGACTTACTTAACAACTGCCTTGCTTAGCAGAACTGGTCTCAGTTGTGATCGTAATAAATACACACGTAACAAAAATAAAATGCATATTTTATTCCTAAAGTTCCTTCAGAGCCCCTGAAGGACACTTTTCAATGAAAAGGTTTTTTTTGCTAGTTCATGAACATTTTATATTTTGCAAAATATTTTGGAGGCCTCGTTTTCTTTTGATGCCTCTTATACATCAGCCTACCAAATATTGTCAGCATGCAAGTAGGACCCAGTGGGATGGGTCAACCTTGAGTTCTCAGCAATTAAGATGGCTTAATTTAACTATCTCAGCTAGTAGCCTCTTTGTGATGAATCAATTTAATGCCATTTTCAGCCAGCTGACAGCAGATGGTCTTTTTGGGGGGGTGGGTGGGGGGGTGTTTCCCTTCCTATTTTGCTTCGGGGGATGTGAAGCCTCAGTGCCCTACTAAAGCTTCCTGCTGCATTTGGAAGAATTATGCGCAAGGGATGAAGGAGAGGGCAACCTACTTACTTGGAAATGGCCAGCGCTGTAATTTCTGCAGGGTGTGCATTGTCCTTGCGATCAAAGGCGGTGTGCATAGTTAATTTGCTCCTGAACACAAGCTGCCTCTCCCATCTGTAGCCTAAAAATAGATGTAGGTGATAAGGTAAGCATACATAGAAGGGAGGCAAGTGAGAAACTTCTGATCCATGACTTCTTCAGAAAGAAAATTAAACACTCAATTGGAAGAGGTGGAAAATTTAACACTCGATTTCTGTCAGCCACGGAGTAGCTGGTCCCTTTTTTCAGAACATGACACAGGGCTAAGAGGGAGAAAAGGGTACCAATCCCTAACATGGGTGGACAAGAGAACAGAAACTCTCTATCCCAGTGTTGATGAAGATTCCCAGTCATCCAGAGTTATCTGGAAGTTGATTCATGGCAACTGAACTTCTTTTCTTTTTGGTTTGAAACGTTTTGCTGCTCCGGACTGTTGGAAGAAATATCCTTCTGGGTTTAGTTCCAAGTGGGGAGAAAGACATTGGAAACATGGAGGCTGATTGGAAACATGGTTTAATGGTGGACAGGAGCACATGGGTTTGAAGTCCGGGGTAGCTGACACATGGAGTTGAGAGAGAGAGGTATTTATACCCTCTCTTGGGCCTTGTCCTTGAGCTTCCTATTCCTGTGCAAGAACACGTGTTCTATCAGCTATACACAGACTCCTATGTGGAGTCGTATGTTTGTCTGACTCAAGTTTGGTTGAACCTTGGTCTGATGTAATGTCCCCAGGTGATTTCGCAATGCAGTGAGCCCTGCTGCTAGATGGGTAGAGGGCTAATCCTATTATGTCCTGAGGGTCATGTCTTAATCCCATCACCCTGCAGCTGAAGGTTTAATTGTCTGGTATATAGGCTGATCCAGGTGCACCAAATATCTGCTGGCGCCAGGGAGCTGATCTTTGTCTTCAAAAACACGTTTCTCCTTTTCTCATCCAGGGAAATATAACATTCTGCCTTTTTAATACTTCCTAGAATATTTCATTCTTCTAGGACAGGGGTGGGTTCTAACTTTCTACAGGACTAAGAAGGTACTGGGATAAGCAGCAAAACTTTTCAAAGCAAAAAGGAAAGAACTCCAGTTGCCAGGATTCAGCTTTCAGGTCTGCCTCAAATGTCTTCTTCTAATATAGAACGGGCGTTTGTGATAATCCTGATAATCCCCCTTAGCTTGCAGGAGATGTTATGTTTTCATTGACAGCTATGCTGGATCAACCTTGGCATTTCAATGCCTTTGAAAATGCGGGACTTCCGGTTTGAGCTTCTTCGGCGACAGACCGAAACCTCGTCTCTCCGAGGCTTCGATCCGTGCTCCGCTGGAGCGCCCCGAGGTGCTGGTTTCAGGGCTAAGCCACCCAGTAGAGGTGGTGGAGAGGGAGGAGACTGCCTGCAGGGTTAAGGAGAGCTGCATCTCTCCTCCCCACCTGGCCATTACTCCCTTTCCCAAAGGCGGTTGTAGTGGTGGTCAGAAATGGCCACCACAAAGAAGAACTCGACCGGAAAAGAATGTGCAGGAGGAAGATAAGAAGAGAAAGTTTTGGTTGACCAGGTCAAACAGCAAAAGCAACAAATAAGGTACCCTGGAATTTAAATTTAACAACATTATTCCCAAAGAAGATTTTGAAGCTGCGAAGGAGAGAGCGAAGGGAAAGGATTAGGCTTTTTTTTTCTTCCCTTCCTTATACTGAAAGCTAAGAGACTTAAGCAAGAAACTAAAAAAAAAAAATCCACTTTGACATTAATAGGCCTCTAAGCTGAAAATAAAAGTCAAAGGGATAAATAAAGATTTCTGGACATTTAAAAGTTTTTAAAAGCTGGAAAGGAGAAAAAAAAAAGAATAGAAGGGCAGGATCTGGAAAAATGGAGGAGACTGCCTGGAATTAAGGAATGGAACTGCAATTAAAAGAAACTTACAGTGAAATTTTAACAAGATTCCTCAAAGATACATTTTAATGGAAACTTGGTAACAAAATAATAGAACCACAGGAAGAGAAAGTGGAAAAAAGAAGCAAGTAGAAACAGCCTTGGATTATTTGGATTACTTGGTGATTTTTGGTTTTTGCATCTAGATGACTAAAATTAACCGGGTGGTTGTTTAAAAGTTTTTAAAATGGTATCACTCTTAGAAGAACTGAAAACGGAACTTAAAAAATGGAAAGAAGATGCACAAGAAGGGAGAAATTCTTTTGGCTTCGTGTTTCAATTCTTAGAAATGGAGATCTGGAACTATGAGAAGCAACAAGAAACGCTTGCAGAACAAGAAGATTGGGACAAAGAAGAAGCCATCTTTAATGATCAAATAATTTTAAGTGGGGGAAAAAAGAAAAGGGGGGAAAGAGAGTGAAAGGTTTACGATTAGAAAAAACAACCAAAAAGAAGAACAATTTGAAAGATAAGTATAATATTAGAAAGCAACGGAAGAGGGGATTACAGATGAGAGAGTTAGAAGTAGCGAGATGAAGGGGTAAAAAGGGGAGGGAGAAGAAGAGGGGGAAGAAGGCAAGGAAAAGAAGTTGTAAAAGAGAGAAACAAGAAATGGAGAAACAGGGAAAAGATATAAGGATTGTAACCATAAGTTTGTTTCGAGATAATGGGTGAAAATATAATTGTAAAAGGGATTCTGCAAAGGTACATAAGATAGCTTTGTTATATTACAAATAGAATAACTTTAGAAAATATGATGGTGGATAAAATATTTATTGTAATGCAGTGGGATGTTTGTTAATAAATAAATGAATTAAAATGATTGAGAGAATTAAAAGGGAACATTTTTAATTATTAGTAATGATTTATAAAAATATAAGTGAGAAATATGGGGAAAAAAAGAATTAACTGTGGAAAGTTTATAAGTGTTCCCAAGGAAGTATGATATTCAATTGAAAAGAAATGTTAAGGATGTTAAGATTTTAATGCATATTAATGATAGAATTGAATTGGAATGGAATGTGTTTTATTTACATATATATATATATTTCTTTTTAAGAATATAGTGTCTATTTTAAGAATGTACCAAGCAAAGCAGAATTCGATTGGAAGTTATGTATTATATTGAATGCTATAATCTTAAAGCTATACATTGAAGCTTAAATAAGAGCTTGAATGGATAAAATTAAAGGATATAAAGGTGTCATACTCTAATTGGTAACTACAGGGAAAAATTTGTTTAATAAGAAAAGATAATGTGAAATTGTAACAGGACAGACAAAAGTATAAATATAATGATTTGAACTGAATTGAGATAATCAAAACAAAGTTGAGAAAATTAGAAGAGGGGAAAAACTATGTAGAAAATATAAAATGGTAATAAGATATGGAATAGAATATAAAAATGAGCATGAAATTGAGTTTTCTGTCTGTATGAAGAAGTGATAACCTGGGACCATGCTATTTCTGAAAAAAGATGTTTTATTTGTATTTTGCTTTTGTGAAAACCCAAATAAAATTTTCCAAAAAAAAAAAATGCCTTTGAAAATGCACAGTTCTCCTAAAAGAAAGGCTGCGGCATTCCAATGCCTGTGTCAACTCATAAAATATTTCTATGGTCTTTTAGAGTCGGCAACAGAAAGGGAGGGGGGAGCAATGCGGCAGCTTGCAAACCAAAACTGCATTCCATAAATGTTTTCAAAGATAGTAACTAGGTGACTGAAGTTTCTGTCACGCAAAATTCTAACTGGAGAGCATGATTGATGACTCTGGGCTATGGAGGTGTCCCATTGGAGAATATGAATTCCGATACATCCAGGGGGTGGGGGAAAACCAGAGTCAAGGATGACAGTGAATTACGTGTCTCAAAGTCAGCTACACCCAGGCAGTGCCGGACTTTTTATCTCCCAATAAATCCTTTTGAAGTTTTGGAAGTTTGGCTCGAGACTCACGATTTAAATGGGGTTAAGGGCCGGAATCCTGATAGACTGCTCAAGCCTGCAACAACTTGAACCTGCAACTACCGAATCAAGACAAAACCACCCGCCTCTCCTATAGCTCGTTCTTATCCCCCTATCATTAGGGCATGGTGCTGCTAGGTAAGATGAAGTCCTCCACCCTACACGCGCTGAAATCAAGGAAGCTGACATGCGCATCCCATCTAATTCTGCCATTTTACAAAGGTGTCCGATACCTGGTTTGAGCTTGCTGTAATGCCGCAATTCCCCTTGGTTGGCATTTGAATGGTTTGTTGGCGCATGCGAGTGTCCCTTGCTTTGTCCATCAGAATAGTTCACAAAAATGAAGCCATCTTTCTCATCCAAGCTCAGGTGGTCAGACCAACGCCTTGTGTCTTCAGAGCTGGTTTCTACTGACCATGCAGCGGCTGCTCGAGCTGAGGATGACCGAGGTCTGTGACCGGCAGGGGCCGGCTGGGGCTGGCTCTCTGGCAGCTTGGTGTCCTGGGCAGGGGCTTGGTCCTCTGCTTCAGAATCACTGCTATCTTCGTCAGGACCTTCTTGACCTTCTATTTGGAAGGCAAAAATAAATGCTTTAATAATGACACTAGGGTGGCACGACGGCTCGGTGGTTAAAAAGCTGAGCTTGTCGTCTGGAAAGCCAACAGCCCAGGTTCGAGACCCGAGTGCTGCATAATAGGGTGAGCTCCCGTTACTTGCTGCAGCTCCAGCCAACTTAGCAGTTCAAAAGCATGCAAATATGAGTAGATAAATAGGTATCACTGTAATGGGAAAGTAACAGTGCTCTAAGATATCATGCTGGCTACATGACTGCGGAAATGTCTCTGGACAGCGCTGGCTCAACGGCTCTTGAAATGGAGATGAGCACCGCCCCTTATGGTCAGCAAAAACTAGCTGAGTAAAATCTGAAGGGGCTCCCTTTTAATTACAACGCTACTCATGCAGGATTTTCTTCTTCAGCCCTACCATCAATGCTTTATAAAATAAATGAAATATCAACTCATAAAATATTTCTATGGTATTTAAGTTTAGAGTTGCCAGCAGAAAGGGAGGGGGGCGAAAGGGGTTTGAAAGAGCTTGGAAATTAAAAGTGCATTCCATACGTAGTTTTTCAAAGATAGTAACCAGTGACTGAAGTTTCTGCCTTGCAAATATCTAACTGGAGAGCACGATTGATGACTTTTGGCTATGGATGTGTCCCATTGGAGAATATGAATTACGATACGCCCAGGGGGTGGGGGAAAACCAGGGTCAAGGGGCAAAATGAATTATGTGCCTCAGAGTTGGCTACACCCAGGCAGTGCTGGACATGTTAACTCCCAATAAATCCTTTTGAAGTTTTGGAAGTTTGTCTCAAGACTCATGATTTAATTAGGATAACTGCCGGAATCCTGACAGCTAGCTGACTCTGAGACACATAATTCATTGTCATCCTTGACCCTGGTTTTCCCTCACCCTCTAGGTATATCATAATTCATATTCTCCAATGAGACACATTCAATTTCTTTAATACAATTTATTTTGCATTTTATTTTTTTATAAGGATTTTGGACTGTATTAGCATGTTAAGATGGCAGGAACTTGATCGTGACATTTATCTTAGTCTGATTCATGAAGGAAGAAAAAAAAATGTACTTGCATTCAATTTCTCCCTGGTTGATTGGCAGCACCTCAGAGCACCATCGAGCAGACACCAACCTCTTCATGCATGAGAGGTAGCTTCATGCATGAGAGCTAGCACCTGAATCTTCCATTCCACCTTTGTCCTAAAAGTTTCACTTCTAAACCCACGTATTTATTTTTCTTAAACCACAATCTCATCATAAATCATTACACAGGTAGTCCTAAAATTACAACCATAATGGAGACCGCAATTTGGGCTATAGGTTGTTGCAGTTGTTACGCTAGGTGCCCACATGATCACCTCATCAATGCCTGCAATCCAAATTCCCCCAGTTGCAGCCATTAAATGACCCACAGCGGGGCAGTCTTGCGGACGTAAAAGTGTGGGTGTGCTGCTGCTTTTAGCCATGTGACTTCTGGAATTTGGGTGTGTGTGTCTTATGCCCCTTTTGGTTCAGTACTCTTGTCATTCCAGATGGTCATTGATCAGACCAGTTGTAAGTCGAGGACTAGCTGTATTTCACAGTTGAAAAAAAGAAAGAAAGAAAATTTAGAACGTAAAATAAAGCACCTATTTGTGGTTCTGGACAGTCTTCCTGCATTTCAAGCATTTCCACAGGTTCAGGAGCGGGAGTTTCCGGGACCTGTAGAAACTCCATCCGCCAAAACTAAGGAGACAAACATACAATTTACATATTACATATTATTTTTACTTTGGCTTAACTTTCTTTCTTTCTGTCTAGAGCAAATGGTCTCCTAGCACAAATCATGGTTCATTTAAAACACGAGGACGAATGTTTTGAACATTTAAATTAAAATCAACTCCATTCTCATAAATACATCCAGTCGAAAAGGGTTTAGAATAATAGTAATGAACAGAATCATTATAATATAAAGGAAATCTACACAAATTGCTACAATGCAATGGGAGATCCTAGAAAGTTACACCATGGTACAACCTTAGAACATTAGCTCAAAATTAGGTTTATTTTTCTGTTTCTTCCACGAATATACACAGCCACCGGCCAAAGGAACGATGGCCTTCAAGATATATGTGTTATGATAAATTCTTCAAAAAGGAGGAAGATATAAAAAAGAGAGGGGAAGCAGGTTGCTTTACTACTACGAGTACTTACTCGGACGACTCCATCTGAATGTCCAGTCACAATAACGTTCTGAGTATCCCACTCATTCATTTCTGACATGCAACAACAGAGAATCTGCTGGCTGCGCCCAGTGAAGGTGTTCACACTCACAATGGGGTTTCCGTTAATGCTCCAGACGTGAATGTATGTCCCTGCACATGACACAATATCACCCTAGAAGAAGAGGAAAATATCTTAGACACACACACACACACGCTCACACACACACGCTCACACACACACACACACACATGCTCACACACCATCTTTAATGCACAACGATTTCTCTCTACTTTCAATTGTAGCATTCAGCTTGATAGGGGAAAAAGAAACGCATCTCAAGACAAGGGCACAATCAGCCGAGAGACTAAAAAATGTTTTGTACAGCATTTGGTTGCAGTTTATGCAACCCCATTAGGGAGTGGAGTTGCAAAAAAAATACCTCCAGAGATTGCGCAGGTCAGTTGAAGTCTCCTTTGAACGGCCTGGCATTGAAGTCGTGTTCCCATCACTGCAGGGACACTCAAACTGATTCCACATCCCTTGAACAAGACTGTTTTTGAGCCTTTTTGTGCCACAATCCCCATTTGGGAATGACACCACAACAGGTTCTGTCTAAGCCATAACTGCTATTCAATCATTTCTATTTATAAATTTTAGCAAAGGGTTCTCTGCCTGGTTGCTGGGTGGGTGTGTCCATGGTGGGCGTGTCCACGGTGGGTGTGGCCTAGTTGGTCTCCTGCAACACGGCGTTGCCCTCCCTGTGCTCTGGAGGATTTCCTCGGGCCTCCGGGAGGGCGAAAACGGGCTCTCCAGGCTCCAGAGGCCCATTTCCGGCCTTACCAAACTTTTGGGCGGCCTGTTTTTCACCCTCCCCGAGCCTCCACGCACGCCCTGCACTTACCTGCATCCAACATGGGCCAGGTGGGGACTCCTGAGAGGGGAGGGGCAGGATGGATGGAGCCAGCCACGAGTGGGATTTGGGGGTTCTCTGAACTGCACAGATTGTAGGAGCTCTCCCGAACCCCTGCGAACCCCCAGCAGCCCCACCCGTTTCTATGACAGGAAGCCATAGGGAAATAGCTTCCATAGCCACAGAAATAAACATGAAGTACTAAAATGGTGAAGAATAGTTTCAGACGAGGAACGATTTAAAAAAAAAAATTGCATATAATTATTTCTACTTTTGGGGGACAGTAACTTCATATTCAGGCAGTCCTCGACTTGCCCCACTCATTTAATGACCATTTGAAGTTACAACAGCACTGAAAAAAGTGACTAATGTCCGTTTTTCACTCTTATGACTGTTGTAAGCATTCCCAGGGTCACGTGATCGAAATCTGGATGCTTGGTGACCGGTTCATGTTTGTGAGACGTTTGCAATGTTCCAGGGTCATGTGATAACCTTTTGCGACTTTCTGACCAGTAAAAGTCAGATTCACTTAACAACCGTGTTATTAACTTAACAACTGCAGTGATTCACTTAACAACTGTGGCAAGAAAAGTCGGAAGATTATATACATATATAGATTATTTTACATCATAATTATAGCCATTATTCTCATAGTTATACCATATAATCTTCACCTTTAGTTACTTTATTTTGATCACGTGACTACGGGGATGCTGCAATGGTTGCAAGTGTGAAAAATTGTCATAAGTCACTTTTTCCCAGTGTCCTAACCTCAAATGGTCACTAAACGGATGGTTGCAAATCAAGGACTACCTGTAAAGCAAATTATAAAGCCTCATCTCTGAGTACAGGTGCTCGGTTTATTAGGCCTGGGCTTGCTCATACCGTCAGTTCATTGATGCAGAGGGCTGACACCGGAGCCCTGTGACCCCGAAGCTGCGTTACAAAGGAAAGTTTATTCAAATCCCAGATGATGCAGGTCCGGTCACATGACCCACTCACAATGATGTGATAGGCCAGTGAAGCTGTTAAACATGTGACCGTCTCAGTATGGCCGAGCAGCGCCTAAATGCAAAGCAAAAGGGAGCAAAAATCAAAACCAAGATGCACTACCACACAACTTGACAACAGTTATTTCTTCAGACACATGAAAAATAAAGACTTGGAAAGGTATAATGAGTAGAGTTACAAAAGATAAATTAAAGCTGTAGGAAGAAACACAATACTAAGAGTCCTAGTGATGCAGTGGTTAGAAGGCAGCATGGCAGGCTAACTCTGCATTCTGCTGTCAGCAGTTCGATCCTGACTGGCTCAAGGTTGACTCAGCCTTCCATCCTTCCGAGGTTGGTAAAATGAGGACCCAGATATGTTGATGTTGTAAACTGCTCAGAGAGTGCTGTAAAGCACCACGGGGCAGCATATGAGTCCAAGTGCTATTGATATGGGAAAGGCAGGGGTCTTCAAACTTGACTGCTTTAAGACTTGTGGACTTCAACTCCCAGAATTCCTCCACCAGTCATGTTAGCTCAGGAATTCTGGGAGTTGAAGTCCACAAGTCTTCAACTTGCTAAGTTTAAAGACCCTTGGCCTAGAGCAACGTCTAAAAAAATCCCAAACTTGGTGAACTGTGTCTAAACAACATGGTCAAAGAATTTCCTTTCTACAGCAAAGGAAGGAACTTCATCAATCTATCTCTGCCAACAACAGACAGAAAAAACTCCCAAAATCCTTCCTTTCAGTTCAGACCTAATCAGTGAAGATTTTGATGCAACTCAGTTGTTCAATTGGGCTAGATTTTTTTATGGATTTCAAGTAATTTTCCTGCAATTATAAAAGAGGACGATATGCTACTTGGAGGGGGAATACTTTCCATATTTAAAAAAATGGAGAAACTGGTAGTGGGTGTTTTCCACAATCGTGACAGCTTTCATACTAAAATATTCAGTTGAATAATTCAGCAATAATCTTTGTAGAGGTTTTCTGGAAGACCTTTCAGGATTTTATGCAGAATTTTAATTTACCTGCTTGAGGGTCAGCATTTTGGCTTTTTCCTTGGAGGTCCCCATCTCCCATACGCAGACAACAGTGCTGGTGCCCCCAGTAATGACCAGTTTAGGGTTTGGACAGATGGCACAAAGAACTTGTCCCCATTCCGATAAGCATTCATAAACAATCACTGCCTAAAAAAATAAATAAAAAGAATGAATAGTACAGGCATTGACTTTCAGAACATCCAGTCCCAAGTATTCTATTGGTGTGGTTTCTTGGTGTTCTCTTAGGTTGGATGTTTTCTTGCAGGCATTTCATAACAAATCTAGGTAACACCATCAGTCCTATGGTGATACTGAGTTTGATAATGAAATGTCTCCAAGAAATCAACCAAGCTTAGAGAGCACCAAAGAAACCACAGTTCATCCCTGAGCTAAAAATACAGGTGAAACTCGAATAATTAGAATATCGTGCAAAAGTTCATTTATTTCAGTAATGCAACTTAAAAGGTGAAACTAATATATGAGATACACACATTACATGCAAAGCAAGCCATGATTTGTCATAATTGAGACATGCAAAGCAAGCCATGATTTGTCATAATTGAGATGATTATGGCTTACAGCTCATGAAAACCCCAAATCCACAATCTCAGAAAATTAGAATATTACATGCAATCAATAAAACAAGGATTGTACATAGAACAATATCGGACCTCTGAAAAATATAACCATGCATATGTACTCAGTACTTGGTTTGGGACCCTTTTGCAGCAATGACTGCCTCAATGCGGCATGGCATGGAAGCTATCAGCCTGCTGAGGTGTTATGGAAGACCAGGATGCTTCAATAGTGGCCTTCAGCTCTTCTGCATTGTTCGGTCTTATGTCTCTCATCTTTCTCTTGGCAATGCCCCATAGATTCTCTATGGGGTTCAGGCCAGGCAAGTTTGCTGGCCAATCAAGCACAGTAATCCCATGGTCATTGAACCAGGTATTGGTGCTTTTGGCAGTGTGGGCAGGTGCCAAGTCCTGCTGGAAAATGAAGTCAGCATCCCCATAAAGCTCATCTGTGGAAGGAAGCATGAAGTGCTCCAAACTCTCCTGGTAAACGGCTGCGTTGACCCTGGACTTAATGAAGTACAGTGGACCAACATCAGCAGATGACATGGCTCCCCAAATCAACACAGACTGTGGAAACTTCACACTGGACTTCAAGCATCTTGCAGTGTGTGCCTCTCCATTGTTCCTCCAGACTCTGGGTCCTTGGTTTCCAAATGAGATGCAAAAGTTGCTCTCATCAGAAAAGAGGACTTTGGACCACTGAGCAACAGACCAGTTCTGTTTTTCTTTAGCCCAGGTAAGACGCTTCTGACGTTGTTTGTTGTTCAGGAGCTCCTGGAGAAGAGGAATATGACATTTGAAGCCCATGCCCAGGATCTTCTGTGTGTGGTGGCTCTTGATGCACTGACTGCAGCTTCACTCCGCTCCTTGTGAAAGTCCCCAATACTTTTGAATGACCTTTTCGTGACAATCCTCTCCAGGCTGTGGTCATCCCTGATGCTTGTGCACCTTTTCCTTCCACACTTTTCCCTTCCACATAACTTTCTATTAATGTGCTTTGATACAGCACTTTGGGAACATCCAACTTCCTTTGCAATTAACTTTTGAGGCTTTCCCTCCTTATGGAGGGTGTCAGTGATGGTTTTCTGCACAATTGTCAGGTCAGCAGTCTTTCCCATGATTGTGCTTCCTACTGAACCAGACTGAGAGACCATTTAAAGGCTCAGGAACCCTTTGCAGGTGTTATGGCTTACTTAGCTGATTAGAGTGAGACACTTTGAACCTAGAATATTGAACCTTTTCACAATATTCTAATTTTCTGAGATTATGGATTTGGGGTTTTCATGAGCTGTAAGCCATAATCATCACAATTATGACAAATCACAGCTTGCACTATCTTGCTTTGCATGTAATGAGGTTCACCTTCTAAGTTGCATTACTGAAATAGATGAACTTTTGCACAATAGTCCAATTTTTCGAGTTTCACCTGTATACTCTTCCTTCAGTACTATTCTGTCATTGAATTAGTATAAATGGTAAACTGAGGACACTGGCTAGGAAGCAGTGCTTGAAAGATCCAAGATTAATTTGGATAAATGGTCAAGAAGGGCCTAATAGTACATTTTCTACCTTATGATTCTGGAATCAGAGACCTGTCTCTCTCTTTCATTTTAACTCCCCTCCCTAAAATGGGTTACAAGTGATTTAAGTAGTGGAAAATTGAGAAAGTAGCTAGCTCTACTCTTTTGAAAGTGATCAACTGTGACTTTATTTTTGAATGATGCCAAAAGGCAAGACTAGACCAGACCAGTTTCCATATAAAATAGGCAGAATAGGAAAATTGTACATATTTAATACAAAAATCAGGGATGTCAAACTCATGTCGTCATGGCAGTATCACGTGACATATCGGGACTTATATACTGGGTGTTGGGCATGGCCAGTGCATGATGCATTCAGACTGTAGACCGGGAGTTTGACAGCCTTGACATCAATAGTTTAATCAAGCCCCACTATTGAGACAATGCATTTGACCCAAATAATTCAATTCATTTTTCTACCCAGTATATAAGCCAGAGAGATACAAACCTTATCTGATTCATAGGCTCCTAATCTACAGCTGAGATCCGCATAACCCCAAGCAAAAGTTTTATTCCAGGTGGGCGGAAGGAGAACTTTGTTCATTTCTACGGCCAAAATTCCTTTGTCTGTGCATACTATCTGCCCGACCAGCTCCTTGAGTTCTGTTTTTAAAGAAAAAAAATAACAGGTAATCAGGATTCAATTTTTGAAAAAATCTTTTCATACAGAGCACTCCCCTAATGAAATTTGAAGAAAGCCGTGCTAGGGACATACGGGGAGTCCTCAACTTATGACATGTATGAAATTAGTAAGCAAATATTTAAATTTGAGACGGCAGGCCAGGTGTCTCAACTGAACTTCACTGATAAATGTAACTGTGAGAAAAGGAACTGCAAAGCGGACTATGAAGTACTATTAAAATATAAAGTAAGGGGAAATGATTACGTGTACCTTTTACTGGTGCAAGAGAAGGCTTGAGGTTGTCTAAATGGTGGAAAAAAATCTTGTTGTTTGTGATGCCAGGGGGAACAGAAATTCCACTTATTTCTCCATTAATTCTGCTTCTCACTCGTTTTGGTGGGTGAGGTTTCTTAAATAACTGCAGTAGGAAAGAGAACATGTCAAGCTTAATAGATAGAATTTCAGCAAAACTGCCTAATCTGCAGAAATGTCGTTCAAAACGTGTCAGTGACATAAATCTTTTTGCAAGTACATGTTGTTATTTAACTTCTCTTTTTCCTGCCCACACACAACTATCAATGCCTCAGTACTTCTGCAAGGAAGAACAACATGACTCTGCTTGCAATATTGGGATATTATGCACACAGTAACAGAAAGCATAAAAAAGAGGCATATTTCAACATCCCAATCACATGGAATCATTCTGTGAGAATAATTTTTGGTTGGGTTATCAACCTGTTGAGGGAGATTGGATCCCTGGCTATTTTAGGGGACAATTTATGTCTCGGTTTCCTTGTTTTATCTCCTGAATTTGTTTGTTTATTCAATTGCTGAGGCTTATGCACAGTTCCAACAAAGATTCGTTATTGAGAAGAAATTGAATTTCAGTAACAGGAAAAAATTCAGTGTGTTTTCAATGGCTTCAACGGATCATCCCATGTTGAATAAACAACTTTCCAATATTTATGACTTCTATCTTCTATTAATATGGATGCCTATATTAATCAATCAATCACTCAATCAAAATGCCTGAAAGATCCAACAGGGAAGATGTGTCACTTAAATTGTTGAAAACATAAAATCAATTCACACAATGCCAAGTTATAATTGTCATAACCATATATACCTTGAATTATGAAAATCTGACAAGTTCACACCAACTTTTCCATAATTTTAATCTTTTAAAAATACTTCTTTGAAAGCATGTGGTTATTTCATTTTTTTCTTATAACCTCATTTCAGAAGAGTTTGGAAGGTTTTTCTAATCAAATAGCATTCCAAGCTTGCTCCTACATACTGAATATTTATGCAAGTCCTACTCAGATATGATTATTTACACTGTTCTTGACCTCAAGTATTTGCAGAAACTTCCTATCACCCAGTCATGAGAAGAGGAAATAAACGAGTATCTATTCTGAGTCATCTAGCTGCCATTCACCTTTAACTTGGTTGTTATCATGCAATGATCTTTCTAATCAAACACCTGCCCCTACTGAAATCAAGAGTATCGCTCATTTGCAGTATCATGTGTTAACTGTTGATTCCAGGGGTGGGATTCAAATTTTTTAACAACCAGTTCTGTGGGTGTGGCTTAGTTGGTGGCGTGGCTTGGTGGTGATGTGACTGGGTGGGCATGGCTTGGTGGCCATATTACTGGCTGGGCGTGGCCAACTCAACATCGCTCACATCAAGGCATGCATCTCCTCGCCTGGCCTCTCAAGACTGTGGGGATGCTGCAACAGTCGTAAGTGTGAAAAATGGTCACAAGTCACTTTTTTCAGTGCCATTGTAACTTTGAATGGTCACTCCACACAAGCAAAGTACCAGCAAAGGAGGGAAAAAAAAACTCCAGAGAAGTTCCTGAGACAGGAAGTCTAGTCCTGCCAAGAATGTAATAAGGGTTAACGGAGAGGCAGTTTCTGTAAGCAACACCGGAATGTTTCCTTTCTGCCTTCCTTACAGCAGTGGCCCCCAACCTTTTTTGTGCCGCGGCCCTGTACCGGCATCACAAAATGATCTGCGGCCCGGTACCGGCATCGGCACGCATGGCAAGGCGGGCCGAGCGACCAGCCAGCCAGCCGTCCCTCGCTTCTCCCCGCCACCTTCAACTCCTCCTTTGTACCTTTGTCAATGGGCTTCGGGACGGCTTCGGGACAGTCGCTCGGCTCGCCTTGCCTTGGGTGCTGAAAGAATCCTCGCACCTTAGTTTTGTTCAAAGCCCGCCCCCCCCCTTCGATGAAACTAAGGCGCGAGGATTCCTTCAGGACCCAAACGCCGCTTTCCAACCGGAAAAGCTCACCCGGAAGCACTTTCTCATCAAAACAAGATGGCGGCGCCCAGCAAACCGGCGGCCCAGTAGAAAATGTTCCACGGACCGGTACCGGTCCGGGGCCCGGTGGTTGGGGACCCCTGCCTTACAGGATTAGGCCAGTAATTTCTTCTAACAACCGGTTCTCTGAACTGTTTAGAATGTTAACAACTGGTTCTAGCGAATAGGTGCAAACCTGTAGAATCCCACTCCTGGTTGATTCTAAATATCTGAGCATCAATGCTTCAACATAAAATTATAAACACAGCTATGGGATTAAAACTTCTTCCTTGAAGCTGTGCATTCCAACTCAATGCTTTTGGGAAGAATTTTGTTTGCAATTTCCAGAAACTCCTAAAACTATGGGGCCCTTAATGCTCTCTGAGCTTGGTTGTTTTCTTGCAGATGTTTCATTACCCAAACTAAGTAGCATCATCAGTGCTAGTAGGGAGTAGGGTTTACACTCTGTTTATATTCTAGTGGCTGGCACTGTCAGTGTTGGTGAGGGTGGATTTATAAGTTCTTTGGTTGAGCTGTTTACCGTTGGCTTGTTTGGCAGTTCCTTTATTGGGGTATTTACTTGATTATTGTCTGATATTAATCTTGGTGTTAATCTATGCTCATCTGGGTGCTGATTGGTGGTGGGGAGAGGTTTTTGGTCCTTTTGTTTCTTTTGCATAATATGTAGATATTGTTAATGTCTATATGTCTTATTAGCACTCTAGATGTCCCTTACTAGCACTGAGGATATTACCTAGTTTGGAGAATGAAACGTTTGCAAGAAAACAACCAAGCTCAGAGAGCAACAAAGACCTCTCATTTCAAATATTCTCCTTTACTGGTGCTTCTAAAGCTACAGAGTTGCTATAGTTACCAAAATCCCAACATATCTCAAAGGCAGCAGGCTGGGAAAAGCATGCATCTTAAAGATCTCCCAAAATGTGAGTAAAAATCAACTCTTTCAAAAAAATGCTACCTGTTTAGGTATCTGCCCAAAATTATTAATGAATCCAATTGTAGCTGTTTCTTTCAATGGATCATTGATGTTGTAGATGTCCACTTGCCCCTCATAGAAGAGATGGTGGAAAACATTGACAGCTTCTACTGCAGCTGGCCCTTGCTGTTTATAGCCAAAGATTAAGTCAATCCATTCATGTAGGTGCGCGCTCACAAAATCACACTCCAAGGCCTGCAATTTAGAATATAGAGGTTAAATAGAGACAACCTATTCCATTTGTTCAATTCACCATGGAGGAATAAGAGTAACAAAGAAACAGGGTGACTTACCTGCAACCAAGGATTATTTTTCCAGAAAAAAAGAATAATTCATTCCATATTTTATCTGAGCAAAAATGTAAACTGGGATATTTATTAGATTTCTATCCCTCCTTTATTACTTTAAATAAATAATTCAAGGCAATGAACATATGTAAGAAATTTATATTTCTTCCTCCTTCTATTGTCTACACAACCACCCTGTAAAGTGAGTTGGGCTGAGAGAGAGGGACCAACCCCAAATTACCCAGCGAGAACTCATAGTCTCCTGGTGACTGGACCAAGGTCGTCACCCAGCTAGGTTTCCTGCTTAAGGCAGGACTAAAGTTCATAGTCTTTTGGTAATTGGTCCAAAGTCACACAGTCAGTTTTCATGCCTAAGGTGGGACTAGAACTCAAGTCTCCTGGTGATTGGACCAAAGTCACTCCAATTAACTTTTGTGCCTAAGATAGGATTAGAACCTCTACAGCAAACTGGGTCTGAAATGAGGAGCAAAATGAGGACTGATAGATTGAGAAACAGTTTCTTTTTCAAGGAAGTAATTGTCTTGAATCAAACAGTGTGATTTAATCCTATTATTATTATTATTAAAATTCTGTAGTGTGATTGTGATGAGGTGTTTGGGGCACTGTGCTGGAGTAGTTTTCAAATTTCATTGTATTCGTGGAATGCAATGACAATAAAGGTATTCTATTCTATTCTATTCTATTCTATTCTATTCTATTCTATTCTA